TCAATTTTCCGGAAAATATTCCAAAAAGGCGCTGAATATTGACTTTGTGTCTTAACTGTTATACTGTCACAACAAGCTAAAAATGTCACCTTTTAAATACCAATAGTTTCGGCCGAGTGTACAAAGGTTGCCAAACATCTTCGGACATTCTCGGCAATGTTCGGAAGTCTTCGGAAAATCGTCAGAAATGTTCGGAAGTCTCTGAGACGTTTTAATGAATCCCGGTCATTACAAGAGGAAAATCTCACCCATTTGACCCAGAAAAAGGTGGCAGCAGGTACTTACTATACAAACTAAAATGTATCTTTTCATCTCTCTTGTGCTTCAGAAATATCCTGTGTCATGATCTTGTTTCCGGAGACTGAATTTAGATGAATAACAAAAAACTGAAAAAGTGGCTCTTGCCGATGGTTTGTCTTACATAAAGACTTTGTCAGGGCGACTGACTGACGTATATGGGTGAAGAGGGATTATTTGCCATTGTCGTTTCCGGTTCTCTAGCCCCGATTAACTGACAGTCATGAGCACCGTGATACACCCTATGCAGAACGAAAAGAGACTGGGAGCGATCAACTTGAAAACGAGGCTAGTTGGTAAATAAGAATGGCCGCCTGATGTGAAGGGCGCCAGTTTTTGAAAATGCTGCAAAATTGTTGTGTTCCAAACTGTACCAAAAAGAAATACAGAACCGAAAACGGGGAGAAAATTTCTTACTTGAAGTTTCCAGACGACGTTATCCTCAAAAAACGTTGGCTCCATGCCATTCGTCGAGACGAAGGAAAAGCGTTTAGAGTCAACCAAAACACGAAGATCTGTTCTCGTCATTTTAAGCCCGAGGACTTGGTTAAAGCTATTGGAGGTCAGCGTCTTTATGTAAAGGCAGGGGTAATTCCATCTCGATTTTCGTGGTCCAAAGGTTCTCCGAAAAAGCGAGCACCTCCTAAATGTCGCAATCTTTCGTCTACAACAGAGTGTTCAAACAAGGAGTTGCAATCATCTCAAAGTCAAACAACTGCAGATGCAGCTGAAGCAACTTCTGAAACCTGTACTTCATCAGCAGCTTTTAGTTATCATGATGTGGAAAACAGCGTAAGTTCGTGTGAAGATCAAACAGAAGAAGTTAAAAAACTTGAAGGAATTCGAGGTTTTGAACTTGAAAATGCGAAGTTAAAGGCTGAAATAGAGGTATTAAAACGCCAGAGGAGCCTTAAAGATTCCCGCCTTTTTCAGCTACGCAATTTTACTACCGACGAGGACATTGCCTTTTATACGGGATTTCCTAATTTAGGAACATTTAATGCTGTGTTTGAATTTTTAAATACTGGATCGAAAGGGGAAAACATTAGGTACTGTTCATCAAAAGAAAGAACTGTCCAAAAGGAGTTTTACGATAGTGGAAACGAGGAACCAGAGGGATGTACTAGCATAGGTAGACGAAGAAGCTTAGAACCCAGAGAGGAGTTCTTCCTTGTTCTTTGCAGACTGAGAAGGGGATTTGCAGGAAAACATCTAGCTCACTTGTTTGGTATTTCGCAGTCGACAGTAAGCAGAACATTCCTTTCTTGGATAAATTACATGTATTTAAAATTTGGTCAAGTATCTATATGGCCTAATAGGGAGGTTATAAGAGCTACAATGCCTGACAGCTTTAAAGAGAAATACTCTTGCACCCGTGTAATAATCGATTGTACAGAAATTAGATGCCAAATGCCTTCCAGCCTTCTGTTGAATTCCAAATTGTTCAGCTCCTATAAGAACCATGTAACTCTAAAAGGCTTAGTTGGAATTGCTCCCAGTGGAGCTATAACTTTTATCAGTCAGCTATATAGTGGAAGCATTTCCGATCGCGAAATTGTTGAACGAAGTGGTTTCCTGAAGTTAGAATTTGACAATGGTGACACCGTGATGGCCGATAAAGGTTTTACAATTGAAGACCTACTCCCACTGGGTGCAACCCTAAACATTCCCCCCTTTTTAGGGTCTAATAGCCAAATGACAGCAGAAGATGTTATCAAGACTCAAGAAATTGCTTCTGTTAGAATACACGTTGAACGGGCCATCAATAAAATCAAGAATTTTCACTTATGGGATAGTGTTGTACCCCTCAGTTTGTTTGGGGTAGTAAACCAAATGTGGAGTGTCTGTGCCTTTTTATGTAACATTCAGGACCCTCTTATTTCCACTTAACACTGAGTTAGGCAGAGCTCTGAGGCACACTACAGAATTTCAGTCAATTTAATAAATGTAAACCTGCTTATCCACCTTAGGTCAAATATTCTCTAAGCCAACTACAACTAAGAATGTGATTCGCTTGCTTTCAGTCCCAAACACTTAAAAGATGTCAGCTTTTACATGTAGTTCTAAAGATCTTAAAATCAAAGAATAAAGAAAGCTATCTTATTATACAGACCATGTTGGTTGATACTCTGTTTTAAACATATCAAGTTAGGTATGAGACACAAAATTTCTTTTTACTCGTACCAAGATTAGATTAGGGTAGTTAACCCTTATAATGGTTACTGAACTCCACAGAAGCTGGTGCTATGAAATGTTCAAAATAGCTCTTCTTTAGGCCTTCATTCAATACGTCCCAGAATTGAGGATCAGATGTGATCCTCTCTATACTCATGCCTTTGTTAGTATAGATAACAAAGTCACACCAACTTGCTCCTGTAATACCTAGTTGACCCTGTATCTGAAAGTAGTACTGGTGTCCCCTTTTTAGCCTCGGCTTTCCATTTACATTTTCTGCATAAAAATTTTCATCGGCACATGCTTCTAAAGGACTCACATGAAATTTAGAGTAGGGACATATAACCTCTACCAGCCCAAAAGGCTTGCTACAGCCTCGGTCAATGACCTTGCCATCTGGTGATGCTGCTAAAAAGGGAGAGGCCATACTGACAACAAGGCCAGTTTTGAACACTGAAACTGGGTTCCTTGTTGAAAACATATATTTTTCATATTCTTTTAAGGCTACAGGCTCATAGGTTTTCCCATGTGCAGTTTGTTTGGCAGTGAATGGTTTGGGATGAAGCAGATTATTTACTAGAGTGTTATGATTCCTTTGCCTTTTTACAATTGTGTGGAAATTAGATGCTGTATACCGAAATTTCCTTTCAGCCTGCCATTCCTGTGAGGCTGCTTGTTCACTTGTTTTCTTCTCTATGGTATTAAGCTTTGCCTCATCAACAATCAAATGATCCAGGAGTGCTTCCTGGTTGCTGCTTAAATCATCTGGCTTTTCATACTGCTCAGATTGTTGCAAAGGGAATGGAGGATATACATAAATGGCATTTTGTTCATCATAACAGTCCACTCTAGGCACTGAGTCAATATTACAGAAAACTTGAAAATTAGACTCTGTGAACTGTAACTGGTAACTTGCATATGAGCCACTTGGACATTTTCCACATTTTGTTTCCTGTAAGTTGGTACCACCAGTAGACATAATTTGAGACAAGGCAAACTTAGGGTTGATCTCTTGAAGCTTGTTTTTTAACAAAGCTTCATCAGATGCTTGTGTACCCAAATTTTTCCTAGCTTCATACAACAAGCACCTTACTCCACTATCAGGGTTATACTCTGTGTCTATATTCGACTTTTTTACCTCAAGTTCCATGACAGGTTGGGGCTTGATTTTATCTCCTCTTACAGGCCTGTGCCATAGTTGTAAACGTGAAGTGCATGCCTTAGCTTGTGTCATATCAGATTCATTTTCCAAGTCCTTAATATCTTGACAACAATACAAGCTGAACTTACAGAGTTTCATCATAACAGCAAGCACATGATTGCAAAAACCAACAGATCCTGCTACACATGTACACGAAGCATATTTAACAACTCCACTCACTAAACAAAGCGCAACTTGTAATTTGTGGGGTGGCTCATTTTTTTAAAGCTATGGTAACACAAGCATTTGAAATAGAAATATTGGTCATCACTTGCGTAAGTTAAGGTGGCTCCGTAATTAATACAAGAGCATTTAACTGTGACAAATTTTCCGTCATAACTTTTTGGTTTTTAACGCGATGGCTGCAAAACTTGGCAAAGAACAACAGATATCATTCGGCAATAACACAAAATATTTCGATTTCACTGACGGTAAATATTTCTTGAGAAATTAGTGCTTAAAAGGACCCTACTGTTCAAAGAAAATCGCGTCTAGTAAAAAATTTTGCTGATATTTTTTACTGAAATTTCTGGTATCGGCTTTAATTGATATAATAAATATGCCAGAGGAATTTCAGAAAAATCGTTGGAGCAGAAGTCCGTAACTAAAAGTCGGTCAAAATTCAGCTGTGAAATTGTTTTGGAATTTCAAAAATAAATTACTATCAGGTAGAAGGAGCCACCAGTTTGAATTTTCAGGACAAGTAAATTCAACGCTTGCTAATTCTTAAAACAAAAGCCGATTGCCTATCGTGCTATTCTTTGAAAGGTACTTTTTAGTTTTAGAAGAACTATAAATTGCTCCAAACTTTGCTCTGAAGTACAATGACTTGTTCGTCGACAGTTTTAAAATATCCCTCGGCAGTTTTGGCTCAAACTCCTGCTGCATACATTTTGATGTATTGCCGTGCATTTTCAACGACTTTTACTGCCGTTCGTTGCTTCCAACTCAGAAAAAAAAGTATTGAGATTGGACGCTACCTCGTATCAGAGCTCAGAAAGAACTGTGCAGCACCTTTGTTTATGACTACAAAATGAGCACGAGCTGCAGTTCTGCGTGGAATTCGCACCTCACCCAGGGGGGACGAACGACAATGATGACCATGCCTGTGAACCGAATAACATCACAGTGCAAAATAAAATTATCGCAAAAATACTGCCCGTGAATCAATTTACAACTCTGAAATTTTTGTCACTCCTTCCTTCAATGAATGGGTATTTTTTTCTTGATTATTATGTTTTGCTCTGCAATACATGTTTATACAGATCGGTTCCCAGACATGGGCATCATTGTCACTCGTCCCCCCTGGCTGAGGTGCGAATTCCTCGCAGAGCTGCCGCTCGTGCTCATTTTCTGGTCATAAACAAAGGTACTGGACAGTTCTATCTGAGCTTCGATACTAGGTAGCTTACAATCCCAATACCTTTTTCCTGAATTGGAAACAACGTAAAGCAGGAAAAGCCGTTGGGGATGCTTTGCAATACATCAAAATGTGTGTAGCAGGAGTTTGAACCAAAACTGCCAACGGATATTTTAAAAATGTCGAGGAACAGGTCATTCGATGTCAGAGCAAAGTTTGGAGCAATTTATAGTGCTTCTAAAAACTGAAAATTACCTTTTAAAGAATAGCACGATAGGCAATCGGCTTCTGTTTTCAGAATCAGGAAACACACTGAAGTTGCTTGTCCCGAAAATTGAAACTGGTGTCTCCTTCTTCCTGATAGTAATTTATTTTTGAAATTCCAAAACAATTTCACAGCTGAATTTTGACCGACTTTTAGTTACGGACTTCTGCTCCAACGATTTTTCTGAAATTCCTCTGGCATATTTATTATATCAATTAAAGCCGATACCAGAAATTTCAGTAAAAAATATCAGCAAAATTTTTTACTAGACGCGATTTTCTTTGAACAGTAGGGTCCTTTTAAGCGCTAATTTCTCAAGAAATATTTACCATCAATGAAATCGGAATAGTTCGTATTATTGCCGAATGATATCTGTTGTTATTTGCAAAGTTTCGCAGCCATTGCGTTAAAATCGAAAAAGTTATGACGGAAAATTTGTCACAGCTAAATGCTCTTGTGTTAATCACGGAGCCACCTTAAGTCTTTCAGGTATTCATCATCAAGAAATGTTTTTGCCTTTTTCATGCTTGTTGGAACAGCATGGTTCTGTTTATTTCTGTCAAAGTTTTTTCCAGATTTACAAATATGTAAATCCATCTCTGCCCTTGTGAATGATGGCATTCGTTGCAAACTTGTAGACCATCCGGCTGATGGAAATTTAACAGTACTTTCCTCAGGCATCGCATCACTTTGAGCGAGTTGTTCTTGTCTCGCCTTTCGACGCGTGTATATCAGATTTTTATCGGGATCCACAACATCTTTATCACGACCAGACGCAACATATTCAAGAACTCTTCAAAATGAAAAGTAGAAAAACTATTAATCATTGCATTTTTGAAACATTTCATCGAGAAAAATAACTCCTAAATCTTTTGATCTCCATTTACAATATAAAAGTCTCTTTTAATTCTAAAAAGTATCACGAACGACTGACAAATACTGTACTTACCTTTTCGCCAATTGTGCCTTTGTTTTTAACCCCTTTGCTGGATCGCCACGAAATTTTAACCAAAAGCGAAGTTCATCTGTTTTAAGAGCAGTCGGATTTCTTTCCTGAAGCGATGCTCCGGGGATATCTTCCTCCGTAAGACTCTGAGAAAGACGGCTACTTACAGAGCCATGAGCGGCCATATTTCTAACACGAGTAAACAAGGCCCAACTAGCCTCGTTTTCAAGTTGATCGCTCCCAGTCTCTTTTCGTTCTGCATAGGGTGTATAAGTACCATAGCTGTGTATCTAGGAATTGTCTGAGAAGATTAGCAAGGAAAGAAAGCGAAATGGAAAAAGGAGTGTTTTCCCCTTCACTGATTCCTCAAATAAATCCAATAGCAAGAAAAATAGGGAAAACACAAATATTTTCTGACTTCCGCGTAAAAACAAATGAGAGCGTTTCGCAGCTTATGATTTTTTTTTGGCCATTTGGGAGAAAAGACTTACTCCATAATGAATTATGTAAGACGTCATCGTTTGTTTCACTTTGACTTCTTCATACCCAATCAGATGATTAGATCCACTGTACACGTGACACATTATGTCTGACTGGGATGGGCGCCAACTATGATTGGTGGACATTGTCTGAGTGGTGCTTTCTCCTGGTTTTTCATGCATGACGTTGTAGCATCCACGCTTCAGAAATGTCGATTCCGCTATACTTGTTGATCTGGTAAGAATGCTGGAACAGCTGGGTGAATAGCCTCTCTTCTCTCGATGCATTTGTGTGTATCAGTATTTTTTGTCACTCGCAGTCAAGAGCCACCTTTTTTAAATGACGTGAGAGTGATTGTGCATTGATTGATAGCGCGTGTCGTACTTGTGCAAATCTTGGATCTTGATCAACCACTTTGTCCCTTATCTAAGTGGGTATTTGTAGACTTTTAAAGTAGGCTAAGATCTAATGAAGGGAGAGCCAAATGCCTCGTTAGTGCGTCTTGATTCTTTCTTGCACTGATTTCATGGTTTCTGCTCTGTAAATTGTGCCACCCTTGCAAGAAACCACGTACACGCAATATTGCAGTCCTTATTCGGTTTGGCAGCTTTCAATGCTTGGTGCTTGACCCTAGATTTGGCTTAATTCTTCGATTGACGCAGGGAGCCAAAGAAAACTGAGAATACATGTCAATAATGTCAGTTAGATGGTAGATTATTTGTCTGTTTCCATCAATGTTTCACTCTCTTAAGGCTGTGACAATGAAGGCAAACTGAATATTTCCCTTTTTTTTTTTTTAAGAGGGGGGGGGGGGCGATCAGCATATGGTTGTTCTTTATTCAACAACCTTTATTTTTTAAAAAAGTGAAAACTCAGGTTTTTTAGGCCTTCATTAATTTTTCTAGGCTTTTGGTTCCACTGGGCATGCCGGTGGGGCAAAGAGTTTAAGAGGTCCGCATTGTTCGCAAGGTGCTTAGCTCCTCAAAATCATCGCGTTTGTCAGGTTAGAGTGAGGTGTAATATTAAATTAAAACCCCCAGTTTGAGGTTCAGTTGTCAAAAAAAAAAAAAAAAAAACAGATGTTGCCTGGGCACGCAGTGTAGCTTACTTTTAAAAGGCCAATTAGCATAACCGAGAAGCCAGAAGCGTTTTAACACCCACCGACTATAATGGTACATTGTCCTTCTTGGTTGCTGTCGCTTGGAGCGATTGTAATTGTTTTTTCCTCTTCAAACGCCTGCGGTGGAGGCGGTGGATGTTCAGCTGTCAATTGCAGAGTTTCCAGCTGGTCTTCTTGGGGTTCTTGCAGTCGAACATGCGGCAGTGGTGTAAAGACTCGTACGCGAACAAAAACAACATATGAGTCTTGCGGTGGAAGTTGTTATTATTACCACTTCAAAGAAAGAACAACATGCAACTCTAACTGTTGTCCGGTGAGTTGTTTATACTCTTGGGGCTCTTGGAGCTCGTGTTCGGGATGTGGAATGTCGAGCCATTCGCGCTCACCAACTATACACAGATACAGTCGGTGCAATGGAAACTCTTGTCCCTCCAAGCAGACCAGGTCTTGTAATACTAATAAGTAAGTGTGCATTGCTTTATTAGATAAGCGTCTATTGTAGTTGCGATCTAGTGTTGTCAGTATTTTTAAATTGCGTTATATGAAGAAGAGGACAACCCTGTTATGGTGGCTTTTTGTGACAGCGTTGGAGCCAGAAAAATTCAAGATTTCGTGCTTGGACAGGTTTTTGGTCACTACTATTGTACTGACGTTGCAGGGCTCGCTCAACTTTCTCGCGCACATACTCGATTTTATGTGGTTACATTTTTGTTGAGTATTACCGTATTATTTTTGTTTTGTTTTTTTTATGAATTCTTTAACGTATCATCGGCTTTAAAAGAATACTGCTTTTTTCACGCAAAATAAAACGGTCACAGAAGATTTCGAGCCCGACAGGTTTTTGGCCACTGTTATTGCATGTACTTTTTTTGGAGGGTCTGCACAAATTTCTTGCGCACTTATATTTAATGCGCGCGGTTACGTTTTTGTTGAACACTACATGTACCGTGTTATTTTTGTTTTGGTTTCACGCAAAATGAATTCTTTAATGCACCACTCTCTGCTTCGAAAGGAAACTGTTTTTTCCTCGCAGAGTAAAACAGTCACTTTTTTAACAACTATTCATCGTTCGTAGCCGTCAATCTTCCACCTCTGACCACTTGTGTAAACTTGTACTAAATTGCTTTTATTGCAAATGGATTTGGGGAGCCTCCTACAAAAAGCTTCTACTTTGTTGGCAGTATTTGTGGTAAAAGCATAACATTTCCGGCAGCCGCAGCAGTTGCTAAGAGATGAGATGTTGAACACTACATGTACCGTGTTATTTTTGTTTTGGTTTCACGCAAAATGAATTCTTTAATGCACCACTCTCTGCTTCGAAAGGAAACTGTTTTTTCCTCGCAGAGTAAAACAGTCACTTTTTTAACAACTATTCATCGTTCGTAGCCGTCAATCTTCCACCTCTGACCACTTGTGTAAACTTGTACTAAATTGCTTTTATTGCAAATGGATTTGGGGAGCCTCCTACAAAAAGCTTCTACTTTGTTGGCAGTATTTGTGGTAAAAGCATAACATTTCCGGCAGCCGCAGCAGTTGCTAATGCATAAGTCGAGCGCGTCGATTTTCACCAATTTATTTTTCGTGCTGCCCACTAGTGGCGCTAAATTGCATCGGAAGAAATGGTCGGATATTTACACATATCATTTTTGAGGTGGGTTAATCAGGCATGAATGTGCGAAGAAAGCGGCATAATAATAGAGAAAACAGGCGATTTTGGCGCCGCAGAGTCAGGACTAAAATCGTCATTTCGGTGAGATGAGTTCTTTAACATTATAGAGCGAGGATTAATCTTTCATTCCAGCCAAATTTTCAGTAAATTTAATTTTAATGAGAATTAGGTGCAGTGTTTTAACATTGGAAATCAAGGTTTTTACAGTATTTTTGGGAGAAATCGAAACATATTAAAATTGAAGTACAAGGTTATTCTCCCTTGTTCTGCTCAATTGTCCACCCGCACTCTACTCAACTTCCCGGAGGTGCTTACCCTCCACCCTAATCTCCACTCAAGTAAAAGCCCACGACTCGTTTCAGTGATTTTTGATAGTACAATGCAGAAGTGACATACCACACATCAGTATAATGTTTCAAGCATTAGACTTAGAAGACACTTTCACATTGCCCATGATACACACATTGTCCCCCCCCTCCTCCCCCACCCAAAAAAAAGCACTAGGTTTGTGAGATTTGGCGAGGGGCAGGGAGCTGGTAAGGGGCAAGATGTATTAGAAGCGCTGTGACAAAAGTGGCAAATTGCAAATTAAAGTATTGTCGGTGATGTGGCCCGGAAAATGGAGTTTGCCTGCGATGTTACAAAGCGATGCCTGATGCCTACACTAAAATGATTTATTACTGAAAGTGGAAACTTTAAGCAAAAAAATTGCTAATCGACTGTTTCCGAATAGATTTTCGGGATCCGGGATTTGGCTTATTTCAGAATTTCGGCCGGAAAATACTTTCGGGATTCATTGTGAACGGCTGGGAGATCGGGAAAATAAATGAACTTGTCCGATGAGAAAAGCGAAAATTCCTTTATTTTGTGCCCTCACGATATTTCCTCAACCTTTTCAAGTGCATAATTTACCGTGCCACATTTTTATCCGACCGTCTTCCACTAGTGCTCCGAGGAAGGAAGTAGCGCAAATGTCAGGGTAAACGGGATTAAGAAAGTTACTTTGTTTTGTTCGGTGTAATATAAGGGGATTAAATAAACCTTTAAGGGACCCACTGTTTATTTAATCAAATGATCCTTGCAAAGAGCATATTTTGTACTACTGCCAGGTCACGTATTAGGTAGAGTCTCGCCAAATCTAGGGCTAATTAGGGACTCATGAAGTTACGTTACTGTTTGATCACGTAGCTTAAAAACTGAGACACTGTCATGGGTGTTTTTGATAAAATCAGCGTTCTTCCGTTTGCCTAAAATATTCTAGCAGAGCATTTCAGGGGAAGGGAGGGATGAGCCATAATACATGATTTTGCATTATTTCCGAAGTGTTTTATAGTGAGAAACTCGCCTCAGTTAAAATAATCTTTTATTACTAGCTTAACTAAATTGCACCTGTAACTGAGTCAGTAAATTAAGTTTTTACCACGTAGCTGCAACCATATTTTGCAGAAAAGCTTAACTTGGTTGACACAATTGATTAACACAGAACGTAGTCGAAGCGCTGTTAATTTTATTGATCCGGCAGAAAGTTTTCTCGGTGAGGAAGTGAAAGAAGAGAACTTGACCGCTATATTCTATCCGGTCATTTAACAACCTGAAACGGAAGGTCATAAAACGTTTACACAAGCAGTTTTATAGAATAACGGAACGTCTGACTAAGTAACCCACACTAACGTTTTTCAGTCTCCAGTTGAAAAACTATAGTATAAGTGCAAGACCGACTCATGACACGAAACTGATAATCAATGGCCTCTAATTGGAAATCGGACATAGGAGAAATTGAAATATCCTTATATGCTTAGTATTTAGTATTTGTCGGCTATAACTTGTAGACCCGGTGGTAATTGACCTTTCATCAAGATCTTTGAGCTATTCCTTTACTTAAGTCTAGAACAATGCTGGTCCACTTGTCCGTCAGATTAAAGGATATCCGTGAGTGGTAGAGCACCTCTGTCTTTCAACCATTTAATCTATTGATGTCCTGTTCCCAACCATCCCTTGAAAACAGGAAAGACTAGCGGTCGTTTCAATGTTACACGGTTGGTAACAAACTTAAGTTTTGTTTAGTAGAGGACGCTTTCCTTAACTTAATTGCTGTTTCTAGGATGAGGAAAAGCTTGAGTTATGTGTTTGGTTTTACATCTGCTGGACTTGTAAAACTGAGCACTTAGAACGGCGACAAGTTCCATTGGTGAGATCACGTAATCACTTAATACGTCGACGACTGTAGAAGCATAATATTTCGCAACAAATATGTTAATGATCATCAACTGGAATAACGCGTGTCACCTGCTCAGATTTGTCCATGGAAAGGCATTTCATTTCCCAACAGTATCACTAAAATAGGCGATCGAGCCCTCCGTTTAAACAGTTTCCATGCTGAAACTCTTAACATTGTTTTCCTTTAATTGACAAAAAACGCAGAGAGTCACTTATACCTAGACATTTCTCTGCCGTTAATTCTCAATTCAGCAATAACATACTGGCACACTTGTTTAACGACTTTCGTAAACCCATAGCCACATTGCTTTTTGTTCTCATACTTGTTTTTAAAGGAAATAGACGTAATATTACAAAGAAAAAATATTACTACGGACGTCAGCAAATGTCATGGGCTTTGAACGGTATGTGTGGGCTGTATTATCCATGTTAAGAACACTTGTACTCTTTCAGTTCATACTAAGCTTTGGTTATAGATAGCCAGGTTTTGCCACAGCACGTTGGTAGTAGGTCACGATATTTCAACGGTTATGCTTAGTCATGTTCAGTTTGTTACAAAGTAGCAGTCTTTCAATGAAAAAATCAGGAAAAATAAAGTAAATAAATCGAAAATACCTAAATTTGGTATTTGGTATTTTTATTTATTTGCCACACAATTACATTACTTAAAGATGCCAAAAGAAAAAAAAAAAAAAATGTAGGAAGAGATGGCGAGGAGGCCTAAAAGAAACTATAGAGCTTATGTTAATTAGGCCTCCTCAATTACAATTTTTCGAAGATGGCATAAAAATTACGGCGACGGGTACAGTATAATATCAGGTGAAAAATTAAACCAATCAATATTACGGAAGTTTACATGTACAAATGTTGAATATTAAAAGGCTTTTTCCCAAGATTTTTGTTGAAGTATACTAATAATTATTACAAATAAATGCCTTAAGTGCTCTTTTAAAGGAGAAAGGTGAGGAAGCGTTGATGATGTTGGTGTTTAAGGTGTTGTAAAATTTAGGTCCTTGATAAAAAACGGAAAATTGCTTGGTTCGAGTACGACAGAAAGGCAGACGAAATTTACACGAGTTTCTTGTATTATACGAATGAATTTGACTTTGTAAGGTAAATTTACAATGAAATTTTAAAGGTAGAGTATGGTTTTGATAGGAGTACATGAATAAGCCTAGTTGTATTAAGTATATATCATGAAATTTTAAGATACCAAGATTTTGAAAGATTGGATCAGTATGTGCATCGAAAGTGGTTTTAGCTATAGTTCTGATCACTCGTTTCTGTAAAATCTCAAGACGAATAAGGTTAGTTCTGTAAGTAGAGGCCCAAACTAAGTTGCAGTAAAAAAGGTATGGATAGACTAGAGAAAAATATAGTGTTCGTAAGGTTTTCGTGGATAAATAGAAACTGGATTTACGAATAATTCCTGTGCATTTAGAAACTTTATTGGCGACATGTGAGATTTCAGATTTCCAATTTAAATTTTCGTCCATGATTACTCCCAGGAAAACTGTTTCTTTTACTTGATCAATTTTTTGACTATTAATTAAAAGTTGAATAGTTTGATTTGTACGCTTTTGGGATGGTTTAAATGCAATGAATTTGGTTTTTTTCAAGTTTAATGAAAGCCTGTTAGCTCTAAACCATATTGACAACTTATTTAGTTCAGCGTTCAGTATATTAGTAAGGCAGTCTTTATCCTTGTGAGACACAAATACGTTTGTATCATCGGCAAATAGTATCAGTTGTAATATTGTTGACGTGTTGATTATATCGTTGATGTAGAGTAGAAAAAACAAAGGCCCTAGTATTGAACCTTGGGGAACGCCACATATGATATTAGCACGATACGAAACATAACCATTGTATTCTACAAATTGAAGTCTGTTGGAAAAATAGTTCTTAATCCATTTCAGAGCCAAGCCACGTATACCATAGTGTTCAAGTTTATCAAATAAGATGGAATGATTGACTGTATCGAAAGCTTTCGAGAGATCTAAAAAGACACCAACCGCTAATTCACCACGATCAATAGCAGATGAAATTTTTTCATGCAAATCAATCAAGGCAAGCGTCGTAGAGTGGTTTTTCCTGAAGCCGAACTGGTTATCACAGAGAATATGTAAATTAGTTAAATAATCATACAAACGATTATAGATGATTCTCTCTAGAAATTTTGAAAAGCTTGGTAGAACCGAGACAGGCCTATAGTTAGTGAATAGTGACTGGTCATCAGCTTTAAACAGAGGTACCACACGAGCTATTTTCATTTGATCTGGTACAATGCCATGAGCGATCGATAAATTCATAATGTGAGCCAGAGGTCCCGAAATGATTTGAATGGATTCCTTAATTATAGACATTGGAATATTATCATATCCAGCCGCTTTCCCGGAAGCAAAAGATTGAGCAATGGTAATAATTTCATCCTCTGTTGTTGGGCTAAAAAAGATTGATTCTCGAAATGATCCAGATAGAAAATCTTTTATGTGAACAAGGAGGAGGCTGTATCTTCTTTGCGAGGTTGGGACCAATACTAGAGAAGTAGCTGCAAAACCTATCTGCTACTTCCACTGGATCAGAAATCTCCTGACCGTCTGACTTAAATATTGTATTTAATTGAGGCCTCGACTTTTTTCTATTTAAGACTTCGTTTAAAATTTTCCAGGTCGCATGTGTATTTGATTTAGCATCTTCCAATTTTTTTTTCATAATACCGACGCTTAGCCAAACGCAAGGTGTGATTCAATTTGTTCTTGTATCTTTTGTAGAGTGAACAATTGTCGACTGTTGGAACTTGAAGATATTTTTGTAAAGTTTATTCTTTGTTTTAATTGATTTAAGAAGAGCTTTCGTTAACCACGGTTTTTTAAAGCGCCTCTGCTTTCTAGTCGCCTTCTTGAGAGGGAAGCAATCGTTATAAATCTTTGTATACATTTCATGAAAGCGTTTGTACGCAATATCTGGCTCATCACAAGTTTTAATCGAAGACCAATCAACAGCTTCTAGTTTTTCAACAAAAGTAGGAATATTATTCGGATTCTTATCTCTAATAAAGAAGGGGTCTTGTCGACATCGATTTACTGACGTGTTAACGTTATCTGAATGAATTGAGAAGACGGGTAGATGATCTGAAATGTCAGTAAATAATAAGCCGCTTCTCGAACGTTCAAAAAAGTTGTTCGCAAAAATATTATCTATTAACGTAGCAGTATGTGAAGTAATTCTCGAGGGACGCGTAATCAAAGGAAAAAACATATTAGAGTACATTCCATCTAGGAATTGGCCTGTGAGGTGATGATTTTGGTAGTTAATTAAATTAATATTTAAGTCCCCCATTAGGAAGCATATTTTGTTTTCTCTAGAGATATTACCTAACAACTCATTGTTTGTAGACAAGAAATCGTCGAGTCTATGATTTGGCGGTCTGTAAACAATACCAACAATTATATTTTTTTCTCGAGGTCTTATTAATTCAATGAACAGTGATTCTACAGTATCAACATTATGGAGGGACAAATCTTCTCGAAGTTTGTGTCCTTCTGGCATATGTTTAGGCGAGTCTTAAGTTCAGCCACAGTTCCAACAACTGTATCTAGTCGAGAATTGAAATTGCTCACAAGCGAATCTACAAGGGTTTTAAACATCCTTTCTTGAAGCTGAAGCATCTCATTCAACATCGCCTTCGTTACAAATTCATTCGAGGGATTCTTGTCAGCGCTTGGTGAGCCGCCGGATGTCTTAGAATTACGTGTTTCTGGCATAATTTTAGCGCACAGGAAAAACAAAAATACTGACAAATCGATGAAATAGGCAAGAAAAAGAGCGAAATAATCAAAATACGAGGAGCTAAAAAATTAGCGTCCGCCCGCCAATTAAAAGAGACCACTGATAAAACAGGTAAATATGAATCCGAGCGTTATAAATCACAATTTTGGACAAATTGGGAAAACTCTCCAAAAAGATTGGACCCTTTTTCTTTAGCTTTGACATCCGTTCATTGATATCGGATCGGTCAAATATAAATTGTAACCGGGGAAAGTCCCTATAAATTAAAAATACGGTCATAGCCATATTAACCTGCAACTGATTATGATGGTAACATGGAGAAACAAAACAATGAACGCAACATTTTGATCTCATGTTGCGAATACGAACTTTGCGCGGGGGGAGGGGTCCAATAGGCGCGTAACCCTTGTCCCTAAATGTTGTCAGGGAGGGCACAAAACTGGATAACTTTGTTTCAGTTTTAAAATCCCTGTATTTCCCATCTCGCAACCATCTTTTTTTATCTCTGGGATCGTTCAGCGTCAATATATCTCACACTCGTGAACATTTTTATGTCCTTACCCGAGAAATAGTGTTTATCAATATATTTTTAATGAGTCATAGAACCTCGTGCAGGCGACTCTCATGCAGGCGTTTTTAGGGGAGCTCGTATTTCCTCCATCCCCACATTGATGACGGGCAAGTGTACACATACAACGGGGTATATTCTTTGCGTTGAGAAGACTGGGTCGGAATTGTTACCAATTTCGTCCCCAGGGCTTCGTAAAAGTGGCGGATGATTGGAGAGGTAGTGTGCGTGACGTCTGAACGGCTGTTCTGAAATAATATGATTTGGAAACTTAGGCGTCATTCCTAAGGATTCTGCTGAAAAAAATTGAGGGCTTTACATGCGCTAGAAGACTTAGAACCACTTTTTAAAAATTTCTAGACATTTGTCTGTAAGAAAGTCCCGCGAAAAATGACAAACAAATATGTGGAAAATCTAAAGCAAACCTCTGGAGAAATTTAAGCACAGGTACGCCACCAAAATGTTTTAGTGCAATCCCTTGTTTTGTAGCTTTAGTTAACAATTTATATTTTTTTCAGAACAGCTGTTTTACGGAAATTATTCGACATTAGATTCTCATACAAACACTGTAATTTCTCACACGTTTAATTTCAATTGCCTACTCGTCAAGATGGCGTCGAAAACCGTGACAAGGTCTATAAAAAAGGCAGCTAAATAGCTGATGAGGACGAACATTATTTAACGTGAAACTACTAACATTATTTGTATTCACGTACATCATTTGACCCCACAGATAAATACAGTAAAAGTATCAGAGAGACAAACAAGCACGCAATTAACTTTTTCGGCTTTGTTATATGTTGGTTTATTTTTTTCAGTAATCGAGGCTTGAGTGATTTGAAAGGTATAACACAGGTGCAAACTCAAAGAAGGAGGTTGATTTCAGTCTCGAATTTCACACGAAGATTAGCTGAAAACCCTCATCGGACTACCGAGGCTTATCTATTAATTTTTTTTAGTAGTTTTCCAGCACTTTTTCCTAGTATTTTGTTTCTAAAATGTTGTTGCTTTTTTTTTTCCAAATTGTCAGATGCTGCTCGGTGAATTGTGTTGTCAGTTCGTGGTCTAGTTGGGGATCTTGCAACGCTCGTTGCGAAAGTAATGGTCAACAAAGGCGCAGCCGCCGGGTAACAACTGCGGCTTCTTGCAGAGGTACTCCCTGTCCAACACTGACACAAACAAAGTCTTGCCGAGGGCCTTGTTGTCGAAGAGATTGTCAGGTACAGTTAGTTCGCAGGTGATAAATTAATTCATTTGAGCTCAGTCTAAGTCATCCAATGTAAGCTTTCGAAAGTAATTCAGCACAAATTTAACATCCACTGTCCAAAAACCTCGTCAAGGAAGTCGAACTCCGCAGCGCGCGTACCGCTTACGCAAAGCACACTTCCAACGTACACTTAGACTCGTCCCCGTTAGAAGAAAATAGCAGCTATCGAAAAAATTTATGTGCATTGGTAGAGTACAGTGCAAAACCAGCAATTCATAATACACTGGAACCTCTATTCATTGAACACCATCGGGACCGAGGCAAGTGTCCCTTGAATAGAGGCACCCCCTGAATAGAGGTTGGGCCAAGGTTTTATTAATGATTAACCAACAAAGACGACCTAAGAAAATCGTCATTTTAATAAAAACCCATCTTTGCGAGATTTTATGTTGAATTCACACGAGTGCACTATATCGATTTAACCCCCGGACGTACAAGTAAGTGGGGGGCGGGTGGAGGCGGTGGTTGCCAACCCCCTCTAAGATTTTTCTGATCTTTTTTCCTAGACGACAAAACATCAGCTCCTGAATTTTTTTGTAGCTATATCTTTATCCCTCACACGCATTCTGATACAAGTTTAGTGATAGTCAGTTACTATGGTTACGAGATATGACGTCATAAATAGCAGGCGGTGAAGCCATTTTGAGTGAAAATGCAAGTTTTTTCAACTTCTTTTAGGAACAAAAGTAAATTTTGTGGATAAAATGAGGCAGAGTAATTATTTACGTTATTTTACATGTTAAACGCAAAAAAAATTATTAATTCTCATAGTTTTTACCTGATTTCTAATTCTTGAAAAAATCCAAGATGGCTGCTAAGATGGCGACCATGTTTGGTGACAGACCTCCAGCAGCGCCATCCCCCATAAAATATACCTCTTCTTGTAGAGAAGATCAAAGGCTTTTCACTGAAGGCAAAATCATTTCAAAATACTGCAACATGTCAAAAACTCTAAGGGAGTTCCATCACCGCACCGCATCCCCCCCGCCCTTGTACCACGGTGGGGGTATGACTCTGCGTGTACGTCCGAGGTTTAAGTGAGATAGCTCCGTTTGTGGATGTTTCGATAATTGTGATCAGCGTACACTTTAAGATATCAACCCTCTTTGTGGTCAGTTACTCTTCTAGTGCCGACTAAGGTGTCCCCTGAAGGGAGGTTAACCCCGGGTTTCAGGACCCAGAAATAGTGTCCCTTTCCCTGAATAGAGGTGTTCCTTTAGTACAGGTGTCCCAAAAGAGTGGTTTATGTTTGTTGTTTTTTTTTTCATTCAGGTTAGCAGTTGGTCAGCTTGGGGGTCATGTTCTGCACCCCCAGGCAGATGCAGCACGAACAGTGGTACAAGAAAAAGAACAAGAAGGGTGACTTTATCTCCCAGCTGTGGAGGATCATCGTGCCCTACATTAACCCACACATCTCAATGTACACCTGTTCCCATCCCTTGCAAGGTTATTCTCATTATTTTTTTCCTGTTTCTTCACATTTGCTGCTTGCTGAGATATGTCCAAAAATGTACGCACTGGCATCTAATCTGAACAATTACCACATTCTGGATATCGCCAGCCCTCTGGCGATATTTTGTCATTTTCGCCAAAATCGCCACTCTCTTTGGGGCCACTTTTAGCATCCAATTTGATTCGCCAGCCCTCTGGCGATCTTTCGCCATTTCGCCAGCCTGGACATAAGTGTGCTTGTTTGTCAAAGTGTTTTTTCTACATTTGTCATAATTTTTGACATGAATCTTTACGAGGGAGCTTTAGCAACCACTATAGGTCATCGAAAACTATTGAAATGAATTCTTCTTTTTACGGTAAACCAAAACTATGTACTTTTTAAATCGTTACAGTGCTTTTTAAACTAGTTGCTTTTTTGGCGTTCTCTTTGTCGTCTCCGCCGTCGTTGCTAAAGCGCCCTAATGTCGACATCATAACGAGAACCTGCATATTGCCACTCTCATCATTAACCTCAACAGTATCAGTGGGAACATCAGCCTCAGCTCACCGTCACTATCACCACCATCATCATCCTCAGTATCATCATAAACAAAAATGGTCTATAATCGCTCAGATCACCCACAAAAATAATTGCAATCCAGCAAATTGAGATGTAATTCTATTTCAGCGTTGGGTTGCTATGAATTTTGTCAGTTGCTTGCTTTCTCAATGAAATTTTCAAATTCATAAATTCACATCATCATTAACTTAAAGAGAAATGTTCCGAAAGTGAGTTTTATCCGACCGTATATTCTTCATTATGTAAAGTGCTATGTGGTTTTTAATTCATTATTTAGATGAATGCGTGGGGCTCGTGGAGTGCGTGTTCCCCAAACAATGGCAAATGCGGAGCTGGTACTCAGTATCAGATACGTACAGTAGCTACCCAGCCATATTGCAGTCCCGCATGTCCTGCCACGCGACAGACACGCTCGTGCACACACAGTTGCTGCCCGAGGGACTGCGCTGTGTCGTCTTGGGGGTCGTGGAGTGCGTGCTCTAACACATGTGGAACAGGTGGGTCATACGAGTTCTTTTTTATACTGATATCTCTTGATGAAGACCTCTATTTAGACATCACAGCCGCCTGTGAATAGGCCTTTCCCTATGGGTTCAGGGAAGATAAATGGGGCAGAAAGAAAAGTGCTGAAAGGGAGCTCTTTCGCTATACCCCTTACTATTGAGTCTGTTAATTCACAGGCTAAAATTACCGCCATGACCTGTATGAAGTAGTTTCCCTCCTGGATGGCCAACTGGCAGCTTGATTCAGGCTCAACCAACCAAACAAGTATCAGTAGAAATATAAAAGAGCCTTTGTTTACATTTTGTTTTTATATATATCTGTTGTGGTTCAATTTTATCCTTGGTTTAAACTTTATTTTCTTTTGTTTGAAACTCATTATCATACATTACCATACCCCAAAACAAAAGAAAATAAAATTTAAACCAAGCATAAAATTGAACCACAACATATCCATCACTTTGAATTTCAAAAAGTAAATAAAACAATTAAATAGAATAATAAAAAACCAAAAGAATAGATAAATGAATGAATAAATAATATATTTAAAAAATACTAGGAAACAACTGACTAGGGGAAAAACAAAATCAAAAACAAAACGTTGACAAAAATACAAAATGAGTGAATAGTACAAAGGTAAACTGTAAGTGCCGATTCGAACGCATTCACGCTAGATTGATCTAAAATCGAACAGGGTAAAGTGTCCCATTAATATAAGGTTCTAGTAAAGAAATTGAATTTGTGCTGCTGTGACTACCAATGTTCATAGCACAATTTCGATGAAAAAAACTTTTTTACCACTAATAAAAATAGACTGAACATCGTAAGTGCAAATTTTTACCTTTGTTCGAAGGTATTGGATAAAATCATGTCTTTGACTTTTCTATTTCAATTACTCCAGTTTTAGGAACTATCCGCATGTCTGAACAGGAACAAGTTATTATAATAAATTACATGAAGGTTTTAATCAGTTCTTAATGCTTCTCAGGTACGAAGACAAGAACACGCGTCATTACTGTTCAACCGTATTGTAAAGGAAGAGCTTGTCCAGCCTTGAAAAACACAGCAAGGTGTTCACAGTACAACAACCGCGATTGCGTCATGTCTTCGTGGTCATCCTGGTCAATTTGCAGCAATGGCTGCGGAAGCGGACAGTCCACCCGAACTCGCCGAATAACATCGCCAGCGGTATGCCGCGGGAAGGCATGCGGAGCTAGAACCGAGAGCAGGTCGTGCACAGATTACCGTGAGAATAGAGATTGCGTGGTACGTTTAAAATTGTTCTTACGTATTGAAATATTTTATACCAAGAACTTTGAACTCCGGTTGAAAAAATAGTGTTGACCACCACGCCAGCAAAGCCTTTCTTTAATTTCACTTGCTCAATTTTAATCGTCGAAAAAGACTCTGCATGAATCGACTAAGATCCTTGCTGAGCATGCGCGGCATTTTGCTAAGATATAGTGTCGGACCCAGGCCTAAAAACCGTTCCCTTGCTACAGTGAGCTGGTTTATGACCGTCGGTTTAAAATAAACGGATGTTCGCACTCGATAAAACCAGTTTGGCGAGGAAAAACAAGATTGATTTGTCCAAAAGTTCAATCTGCGCCGACTTCAAAGACTTGACGTGATTCAGGCAAAACCTCCTTTTCTCCTCCTCACTCAAGAAGACAAAAGAAGACTGCTTGCAGGCTGGGTCCGGTTGGCATTTTCTAAACGTTCATTGAGATTTGAGATATCGGATGAGTTCATACCCAGTGAAGCGAATACAGAACCACGTGGATCATCCACTTAATTCACTGCGGTTGTGCTCGTGTTCAACAAAGTTGAGAAAGTGGTTCACCTAGTTTCAACATTTCGAGAACAAAAAAAATGTCGAGAAGATATTATACACTTAATGTCAGATCCAGAGGGAAACAGTTAGTTTTGTTTTCCCAAGAGTCCTGATCGAGTCCTGAAACATCAGGACTCGAGGGAAAACAAAACCAACTGGTTTCCCGAGGGACCTGACATTAAGTGTTTTGTTATATTTCTAGACTTTTCACTTCAACGTACTTCAACAGCAACAAAAGAATACGCTTAAGAGGAACGCGAATCAAAACAGTACGACTCGGTACTTATAAGAACACAAATTTAATTCTCAAAACCACTGAATAAATGATTTAAAAAGTACTTTCCTTATATTATCTGCATCTTTTTCCTCCACCAGCTGCTGTTTCTCTTCTGGGATAACTTGCTTTTTAGCTTGAGGCTTCATATTTGTGTTGTTGTGAATGTTGTTGTGTTCATTCACGAAAAAGAAAACTGGCAGTGTTTTTTCCGCCTTCTGTCACGCCACTTTCCACCATGCTCTGATCACGTGCTGTAATGCATCCCGAGCGGGGTACATTGCTTGATGTATCACGATCGGGATACATTCGATTTTAGTCAAGGTCACGTGACCAAGAATCAGCCAATGGCTGTCCCTGTTTAGTTGAGTGAAAGTCTACGAATATAACAATGACATTTAAACTCTTCTCAGTACCTAACAACGCAATCCTGAGAGGGGTTATTAAACCATCGGCTCTCAACCTTGCGATACTGATGATACAACGTTCTGATAAAGAGGATGATTTTTTTCTTACATCCCATCTTTTAAACTTGTCTTCTAATTTCTGCTTGGCAATATGTAAAGACCTGTAATTAAACAAAACATTTTAAGCGGTACATTCCGGTTATCCTGCCCTTTGCTATGCTATCCACAGTGGCTCTGCTAATTTTTTAATTTAGACAGCCTAAAGATGCAACGTTTTAAGATATTTAGAGAGAAAGAATTGCAACATTTCAAGAACAGGGAGGAATGAAAGGATAAATTGAAGAAAATTTTGTTTTTTTTACTTTTAGGTTAATTCTTGGGGTTCATGGGGAGGTTGCAGCGAAAAATGTGCTGTTGGGACAAAACAGCGAACACGGACAGTTAAGATTTCTAAAAGGTGCCGTGGAAGAGATTGCCCGACACTTAGGGTAAGAATTTATAGTAGTATTTTTGAGGTTACACTGGAAAAAACTTTGAGGTTGCACTGGTGTAAACTTGTTTGATGATGCTGTTGTAGTTGCTGTTGTTTGCTTCTTTTAAAAAATTCGTCGACAACTTCCCTGAGCAAGAAAAGCATCGGCTCATAATTCCCTTGTTACACGTCGAAAGTTTTATCTCGATATTTTTCAATCAAACTGTGGCTGTCAACTGACTTACTTTGGTGTTGTCGACATGAGTGAGTGCCTTCAGAGCATTGTTGTAACTAAGATACACAGGAGGTCCACTTCTCAGGAACCAAGAAGCTCCGATCAGGGCTTTTTTCCCCTCCATGTGAACGCAAAATCGTGAATCAGGGGTTTCGTCGTATTCAAATTCAATAAAAACACAAACAGTCAAACAAGAAGAAAGGGCCTCAAACAAAGTACCATCACACGCCCCTCCGTATCCCTCCGTGTTGTTCAATCTTTATTTCATTTCAACGTAATTAACTAGTTCCCAGAACACTTGTTTTTCCCTCGTTTCTGACATGGTTGTTGTATTCATGTATTTTTTTGTGTTTAAGGAAACATCACAATGTGGAACTCTAAACAATGGATGTCAACATAAATGCACCAATGGCGCGTGCTCCTGTTATTCGGGCTACTATCTGGCCTCAAATAAGAAGAATTGTATCGCCAAGGATTGTAATATGCCAAAGCCATCATATTGTGCACCAGGTCAGTAAACATAAAACTGAAATAGTAAATAACGCAAACAAACAAACAAAAACAACCTTACAACGTACCAGTAACCTAAGAGTTACCTTAATCAGATCAATGAGGAGGATGATGATATCAGAACCAGCAAATTAGTTTATCAATTTTAAAAGTGCAACTTAGTTAGAAGCCGTAAAAAGAAAACTCGTTTATGTAGAGCAAGGACCATTTCGACTGTTTGTTATGCAAAACATGGTGATTCTAACTTTTGATTTTGGGAATGATCCAACATACACATGTTAAGGCCGCAGCCAAAGTAGCACCTGTTTTGATAGTCTTATTTCCTTCATTAATATGCCCATAAATTCTATCTTCTCATTTGTTATAAGGGAAAGACCTAACGTGCAGACATTTTCAGGTACCTCACTTGGCAGCACGTGCAGGCATGCCAATGTCACGTGCCCGGGAAGTAAGACCACGTATCCTGTCACGTGTTCCTTGGGATGTCCTCAATACTATTCCATAAAAGGAGCGTCCACAGTCACGTGTCAGACGTCAGGACAATGGACGTCTTATGCGTCTTCATACTGTCGACGGAATAATGATCCGCCATCACAGGTAAACTTTTGTAAGAACTCTCGTTTCAAGTCAACTGGTAACAGCAATTAATTCGTTGCCAAGCATCTAAAGGTGTGATTATTTGCCTAAATATAGCAGATTGCCAAATTAACTGTGAAAATTTATTGCTAAAAGTAATAAGCAAGTTTGATATGGCTAATTATAATAATCATCATCATCACATCGTCATCATCAATAATAACGCTGTTTCATCTGCGCGTTCCTCTTTTCCAGATTACCTTGTCTGGCTCAGCCAGTGTTCCAGAAAACCAACCACGTGGCACTAAAATTGGCTCGTTCTCCACCGTGGATCCTAACACTAAAGATAAGCACACTTACAGCATCGTAAGCGGAGGAAGCGGGAAATTTGAGCTTCGAGGACCAGATCTGTTCACACTGACCACTTTTAATTATGAAACAGCTCCAAACAGGTGAGTGTGAACGCAATATATGGTCGTTGTGCCCTTATTCACTGTTCAGTTTTACCCTTTCTGGTTATTCCTTCTTGGGCTGAAAATTGTGTTAAGCTGCAGATTTTGCTTGTATTAAGGAGCACAGTGTGACTGCTTGGCCATTGTGCCTTTGTTCATTGCCGGATTTTACCCTTTGTGGTCATTCCTGTTTGAACTGACAAATTCTGTTGGTCCTACGCTGTAGATTCTCACTCGTAATAAGGAGCACAGTGTGAACGCTTTGCCATTGTGCCTTTGTTCACTGCTCCATAGAACCGAGTTTTACCCTTGATGGTTATTCCCCCTTGGACTGAAAGTCTCTGTTTGTGTTACGCTGTAGGTTTTCACTCATAATAAGAAGCTCAGACAACGGCAGTCCGCCAATGAGGTTGGATGAAACATTTACAATCTCGGTGACAGACGTGAATGAAAAGCCTACAGCGATCCAGGTAAGCAGAATGTGGCTCGTAATTTATAACATAAATGACCTGTAAGTAAAATTATGAAATTTCCTTTGATCGGTTTGGCATGACAAGAGAAACACAATAATAACTCAAACAATAAAGTGCCGTTACGAGGTGTATTGTTTGATACTGTCGTTTCTTTTGTTTTTACCTAATCTGTGTTCCAGTGCCTGCCGAAGGTTTAAATTTAAATGTAGATATGAAGTGTAGAGCATTCACGTTAAAAGCTATTGTAAAGATCTGATGTCGCACTCTCCTTGAGCCCCTTAGCTTACGCATTGTTATTAACTGATAAGCGATAGGGCCTAAACGAGTTCGAACTCTTTAAGAGTGAACCATAAAGAGTCCAATTGTTTGAGACTTGTTTTAAACTCAGAGACAGGGAGACGAATTGCCTTTGAATCCAGTAAAGTCGCTGAAAATCGAGGATTGGCGTAATTTCTCATCACCCTTCATTGTTGTTTGTCCCAGGCCTAATACGAGCTCAAGGACCTTGAACCCGCGTAACCTCTCGCTTGTGTTTAAAGCTATCATAAATTCCGAGAGAAAACACATCTATGTATTTCACGAGTAGCTGGTGAGCGGGGTTGAATGGAGACTGTGGGAGAGGATAATATGACCGGACTCACCAAACGGTACCATTGTTTTTGCATTGTTTTACACAAGACGCTGTTTTACAGAGAGAGGAGTAAACATAGGCTATATTAACCAATGCTTTAGTTGAGCCAAATAAATAAATGCTTCCTGGTTCATGCTCATCACTACTTCTTTGATCTACTTCTCTTGTAGTTATCAAGTAATACTGTTGATGAAAATAGTGACGTGGACACAGAAGTGGGCGCGCTAAGCACCGCTGACCCAGATAACGGGCAGTCATACAGCTACACGTTGCTAGATGGCGCTGATGGAAGGTTTAAGATTCAAGGAAGTCGTGTTAAGGTATAGCGGTATTTCTCAACTCAATCAAACCACACTAAAATAAACGAGACAGTACTTAAAGGATACGAGAAAAAATGGCCAAGTCATAGGTTTTTGCAAGCAAGTGATTGGCTCCTGAAAGATTCATCTCTATAATAGGGTTTCATTCCCAGCGTCTCACTTTATGTCTCTTTATAAAACATTACCCAGGCAGACGTAACCTACTAGCGTTTATCCCATTTTAGATGATCATGAAAATTTTCCCTTTTCATTTAAGGTTGCCAAGTCAAACAGAAATTGCTTGTTAAATGGTGGTTCCCAGTGCTTTCTCAATTTCGAGAGCGTGTCTTCTTACTCTATAAGAGTACGCAGTGTTGACAGCGGTTCTCCCTCGCAATCTATTAACGCCTCATTTAACATCTTGTTGAATGACGTCAACGATCAACCACGTGGTCTGAAATTGTCCAATTACAAGGTGAAAGAAAACGCACCAATCAACTTCAAGATCGGCAATCTATCCGCTAGCGACGAGGACAAAGGACAAAAGCTAAATTTCTCATTGGTTGATGACGATGCCGGTAGATTTGCCTTAGACAGCAAGGGGGTTCTTTACAAGGCAAGGTCAACAGACTATGAGACGAGCAAAGTGCACCACATCGTGGCTAAAGTCACTGATGACGGAAAGCCATCATTATCGGTAGGTAAACAGGCATCCCAACATTATTGTGCACATAGAATTAGCCTCATGTAAAACCAACAGTGCGTCTCTTTAGAAGAAACCAACACTAAATTAAAGTATTGATCTCAAATTGCTTGTTTTCGTTAACTCGTGATAACTGGCAACTGAGTACTTCAAGTAGAAATTGAGGAGTTGGAGGTATTAAACAAATAATTTTCACCTCCCATTCCCCCCTTTCGCATCCTTCCCACCCCCGTGCACCACTGAAACACACACGCACCCTGCTTTACAGTGTGGTTAAATCGAATAATATTGTAAAACAAGCCTTTCTTGCTATTTCGCAGATGACAAAGTTATTTTCTATCAGCGTGTTGGACGTCAACGAGGCCCCAGTCTCCATCGTCCTCTCCTCGAGTAACGTAAACGAAAATTCGGAACCTGGAACTCTTGTTGGAACTTTAATGGCTACAGACACTGATGCTGTACAAAACCTAACCTTTAAACTAGACGATGACGCAGGAGGCAGATTTTCCTTGCAATCCAACTCTTCTTGCCAGAGTATTAATCCCAATGGAACTCGCTGCACAACAGAATTACTTGTCAGCGGCAATATAAACTACGAAGATAGCTCAAGCCTGGACGTAATCGTTCGCGTGACCGATTACAAAGGTCTTTTTCGCACAGAGATGTTTAACGTGACAGTAATTGATGTGAATGATCCGCCAACAAATGTCACGCTAGATGGAAGTGTATCTGCTTTAATTCCAGAGAACAGCAAAGGTGTTCAAGTGGACAGTCTTATAACAGAAGACGAGGATCAGGGTCAAAACTTCACTTACGTCTTAATTAACAACCCAGGGGGAAATTTTCAAGTAAAAGGGGACAAACTGTTTACTTCTATAGGCGCCAAACTTGATTATGAATCATCTACGAGTCACCAAATCACAGTGAAATCGACTGATGACGGTAACCCACCTCTTTCTGTACAGGTGTCATTAGTTATCAATCTCCAAGACGTAAACGAAAAGCCAACCAATATAACCTTGTCCAACCGAAGCGTTCAGGAAAATAAACCAACTGGAATGCTGATTGGTCAGTTGACAGTCAGCGACCCTGAGAGACAGCAAAGTCACGTGTGCAGTTTGACCGATTCAGCCAATGGGAAGGTAGCGTTAAGTAAGAACCAACTGACCGTTGGAAGTGCAGGCGTCAATTATGAAGATGCAAGTTCGTTGAGCGTTAGAGTCCTGTGTCGTGATCCTGGTGGCCTTGCTGTGGAGGATACGTTTGTGATTCTTGTTCAAGACGTCAACGAGGGCCCGACGAGTATTTCACTATCAAACGACAAGGTTCAAGAAAACCAGAAAGGAGGTACCTTAGTCGCGCAGATCACAGTCACGGATCCAGATAACGAGAAAAACCGGGTTCAATCGTTTACGCTCTCAATCTCTTCTTCCGACCCAAATCTACCATTTCAGATCCAAAATAACAGCCTTGTTACCAAACGCCCACTTGATTATGAGAACAGCGCTCAGTGGCTTGTAAGAGTGACTGCAAAGGATGACGGGATACCTTCGCTCTCTAGAACTCAGGCATTTACGATCCAAGTCATTGACGTAAATGATGCTCCAAATGGAATGGTGGTAAGATATTTTCTCGGTACATTTGTTATTTATCCAAACAAGTTTATGAACCTCTATTGAGCGGCCAACCGCCATTAAGGGGCCACTTGCTGTTACCCCGAGGGTGGCCGCTTAATGGAGCTTAAACTGTATTAGCAAATACAAAGAAAAATTTTGTATTCATTCTCAGGAACAATTTCCTGTGGCGCAGGGTCTCATTAACAACATTTCTTCGGGCCCCGGTTTTATGGAGAAAGGTGGTCTTGGGAAAGAAAGTCACCCTCACAGCCGAGTCAACATCGGCGATCGTTATGAGGAAAAACTTGACCCCTTTGCCCGAGCTAAGAGCGAGACAACAGCGATCGCGCATTGTCTGATTGTCTCGCCTTGACCAAGCTGAACCTGCTGGGCGAGCCAATGTGTTTATATGGAGAAAGAGGAGGGTGACCCTACCACCGAAAAAGGGTAACTCTTTTTAGTGGGTCACCTTTCTGGCCGAGCCAATCTTTTTTTTCTGATGTCAACGGCTCACCAAGTTTTGTAAGGAAATGCGGGAGAAGTGGTAGCCATTGAATTTTTCCAATCTTCCGCAAGCGGATTCCTAGGCCTGGTCCAGAGGGGTTGCTTACGTGGGCGGTAATTACTAACAGGGATCTTCTCTTTGTGTTCATTTAGCTTTCAAGTTCTGATGTAAATGAAAACAGCGATGAGAACACTTTGGTTGGCTCTTTAACCGCAGTAGATCAAGACACTTCACAGAATCATACTTTCCAACTGTTAAACAGCGCTTCGGGAAGATTTAAAGTTGATGGAAATGAAATTAAGGTAAAATTTCTCAAGGCTGAAAAATATGAAGATGTATTCCAATATGAGAAGCTTCTCCTTACGTTAAACTCAAGAAAACCTAAAAAATTAACTCAGCACGTACTTTTCTTTTAAAAAGAGAAATTTAATTGGTTAACAGTACCCTTACGTCGTATCGCTGGGTTGAAAACAATCCCATCTCATGCCATTTTATCCCTTGTCATGACCCGTCTTATTCATTTATCCATCCATTCATTTATCTGTCCGTTGGTTCGTCTGTTCGTTCGCTGGTTTGTTCGTCCGTCCATCCGTTTCAGCGACCCGTTTGTTCGCTGGTTTGTTCGTTTGTCCGTTTCTCAGACGGTTTGAAGTAATAACTTTAATAGTAACATCCTTGTGAGGTTTTTCAGGAACTATTTACAAACTATTTACAATTTATAAAAGCAAAAATGACAATAAAAACTCGAAATCACAATTTAGGATGGCATTCTACTAAATTCTAGAGCTTCTGAAGGAAAGGAAGGAAGTTGATCGCTTGCACGCATCTCCCTCAAGTTCTAAGTGAGCTATTGTGAAGCACAATGAAGTCATCACCAATCTAGTATTCTTACAACAATAAAGTAAAGAAGTGTTGTGTTCAGAAGTGTTAACCACTAAACAAACTGAACCAAGCACACTGGGACAGAGTGTTTCATCGATTTACCGATACTTCGAAATTGCTTCGAAATTCAGTAGACTGTGTCTCGTTTTTTAAACCTCTCGCTCTTGGCGAGGAAACACTCTTTCTTTTTTGTGGTATAATCCTTCAAACATTCTGCTATTTATTACTTAGGTGGCTATTTCCAACAAACAATGTTTGAGTCAAGGAGGTTCTTCATGTCTCCTAAATTACGAGAAACAAAAGAATCACATTATCAGAGTAAAGACTACAGACAATGGTAGCCCACAACTGTCCTACGAAAAAAACTTTAGAATTGACGTGCGGGATATTAATGACATACCCCGTGACTTGCAGCTCTCTAATAACCAAGTGAAGGAGGATGCGAAGATAAGTACCTTGATTGGCAGGTGAGTATCACGTGACAGTATTCTAACCTATTGTTTTATTCAAAGCATTTTGGCTTATGTTTGTGGCAATCAAATATAATATTTTGATTCTAGTTCATAGATTATGATAACAACCAAGTTTTTGTCTCCCTGCAAGTCGAGTTACTGCGACCTCCGCCCAGTTAGCTCAGTTAGAAGAGCGCGGGTCTCCTGAGCGGATGGTCGCGGGTTTCATCAAGTTATCTAGCAGGTCATGCTGGCTGTGAATAACACCTTGCCTCAGCTCAGATGATTAGTCATTGGCAATATTATCACACGTTGGCCTTAACTCATTCATCCCTCCTTATAAGGGGGATTTGTCGGAGGAAGACACCGACAACAGAGACCTATAGATTCTAAGACAAGGACTACTATGAGAACAAATGAATGTCAAGTATTGCGCGCGCGTGAACCAGCGTCATTTTCGCGGGAAAACGTGATAACTGTCGTCATTCTACTGCGTTTAGCAAAAATGTCGTAGTGCGGAAACAAGTTATCAAATACTTCAAGAGTTATCATTTTACGATCGGGAGAGGGCTTATCCTCCTTCACTAAAGATAAACGTGTTTATTTTTCTGGTGGAAAAAGGAAAAATGGAGTTTTTGGGATGTCAAACTTTAAGTCAAATCTCGTCTTCGAGTCTAAAGGTCTCTAATGGTGAGAGAGTTGGGGTAGTAAACCCTGGTATGGTGATCTATCTTTGCCAGTTAGGTTGGGAGAAGACTGCTACAGGCGCGTACCAATTCGTTCCACACTATTGCAGTTACCATGCCAACAATTAACAAAGCAAACAGAATAAACAGATATGAACAATTAGAGCAACCAAATCCTATCCAGTTGCCCTGTTAATGGAACTTCAAATTCCAATTGTAAAGAAACCTAACAATACATGAAGCTACTATCTACGATTAAATCACTTGACAGCTTTCTTTCCTTGTGACTAGGCTTACATCACGTGACGAAGACGTTAGCCAGTCAGCAACATATTCACTGACCAATGATGACAGTGGGCGCTTCAAGGTTGACTCTCAGGGGAGACTGTACACAGCGAAGAATATCAATCATGAGACCCAGAAGAGACATGTCATCAGAGCAATGGTAAAGGATAATGGAAACCCGCCTATGAAAGTGAGTCTTCCAGTAATAGCTATTGTTATTTAAAATAAAATTTTCTCAAGGTTTTGATTAGTGTCGAGGTCACTACGTCACCGCAGATAACTGCGTACGGATAATAATCTAATCAAATGCGCAACAGCGAAAAAGTTTTGCTGCTAACAATGCGCTGCGCATTGGCAGTTTTTTCTGTTTTTGCAACCTCCTTCCCAGCATCTCTGGAAACAAGGTTGTGTAAAATCATTGAACTCAGTTTGCATATTAAATCATTTTTTTAAAAAACTTAACAGCTATATCAAAAAAAAAAAAAAAAAGAATGGGGAAATTTCTGAAAGGACACCTTCCAAAAGGAGTGTCGCCTTTTAAAGTAAAACAGTACATATCTGTATACCTCGATTGAGATCGACCATCTTGTTCAAATTTTGAATTTGTTATCAAAGTAAAGGTCTGACCATGATCTGTCATCTAAACAAAAAAAATACTGAAAAAGAGTGAATATTAATTTACAAATAGAAAATTAGTTTTAAGCGAAACTGAAAGTTTGTCTTTTGAAAGCCTTTTGCGTTCGTTTGCTAGTGAGATGCAGTCAACTGAGACACTTTTCGTGGGCGAAAATTTTACGAATATCAAGCACTGATTGGCTCATTTATCTGAAAAGTTGAGTACGATCAAGGGGGCTGCTTCCTGGATTCGATCTGAGGCGAGGAATTTTCCTACGCGCTTTTTTCTGGAACAGAATTTGTCACTTACCGGGGACATTTCACATAGTGAAAACTCAAAGAAATTTTGTTTGATTATCCTCAAATTCGGCGAAAAGTTAGTTTAAAAGCAATTTGTTTGAGCTGGTTATTGCTCAAATCGTTACTGTGCAATCACCCCACTTTTTTTACATCTAAATCCTAACGACCGCAAACAATTACATTGACAAAGGCGTAAGACACGCTTGGAAGATAGCAACATTCTTATTTCTGGGAAATGTACTACAAAAATTAATTCTACAATCTTATATGGGTAAGCCCCGACATGATTCTGTAGCGGCGAACCTAAAAAAGTCCAATATGCCAAAGAAAAATTCGTTCTGAGATACAAAGCTTTCGACGGACACACCACATCTTTTGGACGGTGCTAGCATAATTACAACTATTTTCTTGAAATACACTGATCTAATCATTCGCGATTCAAGTCTCAGTTGCATCTATCAAAGCAAGCAATGATGTTTTTCTTTTTATTAACACTTGTAAACGTACCTTTAGTGTTCTACCGGTGGTTAATATAAACGACAGTTTTAACTTGTTTTAAAACTGCAGTTGGTGAATCCTCGTGTTTGTCTTTTCCTTCTTATTGGTTCAGTTCTTTGCTTTCTGTAAATTTTACCAATAAACTTATGTCAACGAAGCCCGAGCACGCACTTCCAGAGCGTTTGTTTATTTTAGATGGAAAAATCCTTCACGATCGAAGTTTTGGATGTCAATGAAGCTCCAAGCAGAATGAACATCACTTCCCAAGGGAGTCAGCTGTCTTTCCCGGATGGACATGCTCAGATCCGTGAGAACTCCGCCTCCGGAACAAAGATCGGAACACTGGAGGCTTTTGATTACGACGCAGGGCAGAATTTGACTTTCAATCTCGACGATGACGCCGGTGGGAAATTTAAATTGGGATCCCGAGCGAACTGTCAGTCCATCACCAACATCCCAGGGGTGAATACAAAATGCACAACAGATCTTCTGTTAAATGGTTCTCTCGATTACGAGGTTTCGACTGGGTACTCCCTGATAGTGCGCGTGACGGATAATAAAGGTACTTTTAGGACTCAGCAATTAAAGATCCGAGTGGTAGATCAAAATGATGCTCCTGAAAATGTCACGCTAGGTGGCAGTAACGCTGCGTCTGTTAATGAAAACGCCGATGGTGCTTTTGTTGGAGAACTGGTAACTAGTGACCAAGACGTTGGCCAAACGCATATTTACAAGTTGTTGGACAATGCCGGAGGTAAATTTGTGATCTCAAACAACAAGGTGTACGTCTCATCGTTGGCTAATTTGGATTATGAAGCTCGAAGTCAGTTCACGATTAGGATTCAATCTGAAGACAATGGTAGTCCCCCTCTTAGTTTGGCAAAAGATTTCAAGATCACTATCATCGACGTCAACGAAGCTCCAGTGAACATCACTCTTTCTTCAGGGAACGTAGCTGAAAATAGCGCCCCTGGAACAGTGATTGGTCAGCTTAATGTCACCGATCCGGATAACTATGGTTCGCGTGGCGCATGGCAATCTCACAACTGCCAAGTTATTGGAAATCAGTTAGGAAAATTCACAGTTCAAACCAATTTGCTGGTAGTAGGTAACGCCAATTTAGATTACGAGCAGGCTGCATTAATACTCGTACAATTAAGATGTTCTGATAGTGGCTCACCGCCATTATCTCTGGTGAAGGTTCTATCCGTTTCAGTTGATGACGTCAATGAGGCTCCCACCAGAATATCATTGTCAAGTGACGTCATAGCAGAAAATCAGTCTCCATTGTTTATAGGTAGGAATGATAATTCAAGTTGAAAAGATGTAATGGCTGAATGATATTTGTAGCGGATATTTGCTGTGTTCCATAAATAAACGTCTTGCCTTCTTTGCGGTTCGACTTCTTAGCTATCACAGATCTCCACCGTGGTCAAATGTCAAGGGCGATTGTTTTGTTTGTTCTGATTTCATTTATCAGTAAGTGTAAACATGGGCAAAGATGTATAAACTAACTCTTTAACGTAACTATCTGAACTATCTCTTCTTTTTCCTCAAAATTTTGAGCTTTTCTCTTTCTCTCCTCGAGTAAAATCTTGCTGGAAATTGGCGCGGACAATAACACCAGATTCTGTTTTCAAACACAAAAACTAACAGGGTATTGGTAATATCTTAAACGTTCAACATTGAAAGTAGCAACCTCAGCTTTAAAGTAGTTTGCCTAGCTTTGCATGTTTCTCTTGTTTAAGCACGGTAAATCACACATAGTTCTAGGACATAACCACGTGACCTATCCCGCCCATTTCTATTTCCTGTTGCTGGCCGTTATAGAAGGACATCACAAGTGTACGATATTTAATTTACTTTCACTTGTTCAGTAATCTTTGGCTGTAAAGTTCTTCTAATTATACGTTTCAGGCTTGTTCTCAACCGTTGACCCAGATAACGCCAACCAAGTGACAAACAGACAGACATTTACTTATACACTCATGGGGAAAACCGCTGGTCTACCTTTTATAATCGATGGTGACGCGTTGAATTCGACAAGAAGTTTGGATTTTGAGGCCCAGTCCTCTTGGAACATCACGATCAGATCAGTGGACAGTGGCGACCCGGCGCTCAGTTTAATAAAGACTTTCCAGATATCCGTTGTTGGTAAGTTAAAGTTTGAATTATGCTTGACTACTTTTGCCTTGAGAATAACTCCTTCGAGTTGTTTGACTAAATCAGTTTCAAAATAAATGCAAGCTTGAGGGTAACGACTGATTGATTTATAGTAATACATACAACCTTCTCCTGGAATATTAAGGCTACTGAAACACTTGTCACTTTACCCCCCTCTCTCCTCGGGAACGTTGATGTACATAAATTACCCACTTGCAAAAAATGCGGAACTCGACAAGGGCGTAGAAGATCAGTTGACTTTAATTAAATTAAGTTAATGCGGATCAACTGACGGGATTCTCAACGAACATTCAACTGTGAAGATCTGCCTATGTAAATATAGTGATAAAGGTCGGCATGAATAGTGTTGTTTGAAGGAGTTCACGGTCTTAATTCGAAGTAAAAAAGGACAAAACAATGACTTAAGGCTATAGAAGTGCAAGATTGATTTGTGTCTGTTGGAATACATGATCATACTTTGCTCTATCGACTGGCAGTGCAAATACTTTTTAATTAAGTCCAATTCTGAATTATTTTTACGCATGTTTGATTCTTTTTCAGATGTCAATGAAAAACCTTTTAACATCAGTTTATCAAATGCAGTCATAAACGAAAATTCCCCCCAAGATGCACTGGTAGGAACTGTGTCCGCACGTGACTCTGACTTCAATCAAACCCTTGTTTACAGTCTGATTGACGGAGCAGGAGGAAGATTTAAACTGGATGGAAATAAGCTTAAAGTTGCTTTGTCCAACGATGACTGTCTTAAGATTGGCGGCGACTTCTGTAAGTTGAATTACGAGCAACAAAAAACTTACAAAGTAAGCGTACGCGCCACGGATAACGGGAACCCACCCCGAAGCACTGAAGCGATTCTGTCAGTCACATTGATTGACGTCAACGACCGACCACGTGACTTGAAGTTATCCAGCAACATAGTGAAAGAAAACGCCACAATCGGAACGAAAGTTGGTCAGTTTTCCGCTACAGATGAGGATACATCTCAAACTCTTCAGTTTGCTTTAATCGACAGTGATGGCGGGCGGTTTGCTGTTGATTCTTCAGGATATTTGTTGAAAGCTAAAAGAACAGATTACGAGACTAACAAGGTTCACAAGATAGTCGCTCAAGTCAGGGATAGCGGTAATCCGCCTTTAGAGGTTCGTGTATAAATATATTCCATGTTGCTGTGTGTGTCTGCTCAGATTAAAGAGACCTTAACATCGAGGTTTGGCTATCTTACTGCAAACGGCAAACCGCGGTTTACAATTACGGTTTCTCGTTAGCGGTTTGCCCATATTTGGGACTTAAGATTCGCGGGTGGTAGCTCGCGGCTGTCATGTTTGTTTGTTTGTTTTTCTTTTTTTCCATTGGTTGACTTCTATTTTAGCTGAGAAATCGTCTTCAAAATAACGTTTCGTTGAAAAGAATTAATTAATGGGCCAAAGAGTTTTAATACTTTGTAGAGAGTTTGAGCTTCACGTACGCGGCAAACGTCAGATTCAAGTTGAGAAACTCAAAATGGAAAATAAGCAGATAAAAACAGCTCAGAACAATTCTTATGGAAGAAAAATTGCGTGAAACTACTAATCTAGGTGTAGAAATTATGAACAGTAAATGATAAGTAAAGAGGAAACTTGGTCACGTGATACAAATTTACGTTTGCCGTTTGACGTAAACGGGTTGCTTAACCTCTTTAGTATATCCTCTAAAACGTGGGATTGTGATGTTTTGGGATGCAAAAACCCTTGCGGAAAATCAATTATCTCCAGAGCGTGGTCTAGCCGCACAAACGTGATCCTCAAACCGCAAACCTGAGGGCAAGGCACGAATCACGTGACTTCTCGACGTTCGCGGTTTGCAGAAATTACCGAAAAATTTCCATCTTAAGGTCTCTAAGTGGCACACGAGCCGTAGGCTATCGCGTCACTGAAGTTCTTCTGTGATCCATATACTGAACAGACGCTCGGCAACATGAGGAAAAACAACAAACTGGCATCATACCGCTTGACTGTTGGAGGATTTGAGCCAGTTTAGGCTTTTCTAAGTCACCAACGCCATGGCTCGTTTCGGCTTCTTCTGTTTCTTCTTCCTACTTGTAAATAGGTTATTCCAAATAGATTTTCAAGGCCTTCACTCGCTCAAAGCGGAATAATCGCGTGAACATTTTAAAAATTCAAAACTACGGGTCTCTCATAGGATGACAAACGATGACAACGGCCTATTTCTTGTTAGTTTCTTCCAGTTTAAGCATTAGAACTCTTTTGCCTTTCCGTTTTCCTTACCTGTAAACAGCGTCTGCAAGAATTTTTCCGAGGCCTTTACTTGAAAAACCTCAAGCCATTTTGGACAAAGCCAAAAAAAGTTTCCCGTGACGTCATCCATGTCTTTGTACTGAAACAAATCATAGGCTTTGACCAGTCGCAGCGCACATACCACTTACTACATTATACTCTTATGTCAGGTCCGGTGGGAAAGAGTTAGCTTTTTTCCTACAGTCATAGCCGAAGGAAGCAGCTAAACTCGAGGGAAAGCAAAACTATCCGTTTTTGCCTAGTAACCCGGCCTGACATTAAGTGTTTGTTATATTCCTAGACTTTTACTTCAACAGCGACAAAAAATAAAGTACGAATCAACACATAATTCGGTACTAATACAGCTTAGATTATAATAAGAACACAAATTTGCAAATTGGTGGCGAGATATAAGCACAGTTCAGACGCCTCAACTGTCTAAGAAGGATTGAGTCTTGTTTCTCCCCACCAATTAGCACTAACAGGCTGACACTTTTGGCGAACGGGTTTTTTTTTTCATCTTATTCTTTCTGAATATACCAGCCAATCCCATAATTTCACAAATATGAATTTTTGGCTGTTACACTTCTCTTCCCTAGGGCAGTCCCTGTTTGATGAGTCTGGGAATATAGTGTGTCTAATGTACAAAAGGAACATCACCACCACCTTTCTCAGCCTTGACGATACCTCCTGTATGTGCAACATTTTGTTGTAGCCACCTTACCCCCTCTTGGTCTGCTGGGGAGTTATGGTCATGCCACAGTCGCTCATTTTCAGTTGTCGTCAATCATCTAATTAGAGACCTTTAGACTCTAAGACGAGGACGACTACGAGTATGAGATTTTCTCAATATAAAAAAGTACTCGCTCGATCATGAGCCAGGGTCATTTTGGAAGGGGTAAACGATATAGTTTGCTGTCATTCTACTACGACTTTTAGCGTGAATGTCATAAAAATGTTAGAAGTTTTATCATTTTGATATTGGGCTAGGGCTTAATCTCGGCTCCATAAGGATAACAGCGCTAACTTTTCTGGTGAAAAAAAGTAAATGAACTTTTCCGGGCAGTCTATTTTTTGAGAATCCCATGTAGGGATTTAGGAGCCATGAAACACACGTTTACCTCGAAAAAAATAAAGTCTTATGGAATGGCCGTCGTATGATTCCGCTTACATGCTAAAGTGGCCACGTTTCCAGCGTGGTTGCCTCAGTGGTGTAATGGTTATCACGCCCGAGTACTAACCGGGGAGACGTTGGTTCGATTCCGGCTTAAGACAACATGTTTTTCTTTTCAGATGAGGTGTGTGTCGAAAGTCGTCTTACGCCATGTGTTGTGGTAAAAGTTTGTTGCATAGAGCGTTTTCACTCACGTGACCAGCATCTATGCAAATTTATTAAAACAAAAGAGAGTGTTTACATAAGAAAAGAAATCAACTCCCACAGGATTAGTTTGGAACAACAACATGGCCGCCGTTCTATTGTTTTGGGACACCAATATGGCCGCCGTGACGTCATGTGAAAACGTTCTATTAGCGAAAGAAAGTTTAAGTCAAATATCGTACTCGCAGTCGTTCTCGTTCTCGAATCTATTAAATGTTTAATTGATAGAAAAAACAGTCTCTTTGATTTTTTTATGTTTTTTTTTTAATTAAACGTTTGTTGTACTTACAGGTCAACAAGACGTTTACAGTTGTTGTAGAAAACATAAACGAGGCTCCAATAAACATTTCACTGACGTCTGAATATGGACAAAGGTCCTTCCCTGACAATATACCCAAGGTGAACGAAAATTCTAAAAGAGGCACAACAGTAGGGACATTTCATGCGTTAGATCACGACGAAGTTCAAAGCTTGAATTTTAGTCTAAATGACGATGCAAGCGGCAAATTCACAGTAGGCGCGAGGGTTTTTTGCCACAATAACACTTACATTCCAGGCGTTAAAACAAAGTGTACGACGCTGTTAAAGGTCAGCGGTGATCTCAACTACGAAACGAGCTCTAGTGAAGATATTTTGGTTCGCGTGACTGATGACAGCGGGTTATTCCGTGTGCAGCCATTTAAGGTTACGATACTAGATGTTAATGACCGACCGAAGAATATCACATTGACGGGCGGAGATACAGCATTTATCGACGAGAACGTTAATGATGGCTTTGTTGGTGAGTTGGCGACTATAGATGAAGATATTAACCAGACACACAGCTACACTTTGATTAACAATGGCGGATGGAAATTTATTCTCCGCCAAAACAAGATCTTTTCTTCCTTCTATGCGAACCTGGATTACGAAACAAAGTCAGAGTATTCTATTGCGGTGAGAAGCAGTGACAATGGTTCCCCGAGATTGAGTATCGATAAAACATTCACTGTTCAGGTTAGTGGTTCAGTACTTGTAATGATCTGACAAAGAATTGCTTAGTAGCCAATTCTTTGCCCGAAAAAATTACCCTGGAAGAAAGCAAGAAGAACGCAGATGGTAGTTCCCGTCATCTGTCTGTAAAAGCCACCGGAAAGCAAAGATTAGGATGCGTTCTCGTACAATGAACACGATTATATTTTATGCATTAGTTCACGAGACCTTTGTAGGATTTCCTCCTTCGGCGCTTTCGCATTATTCCTAGGGCGTTAAGAAAAGATCACAAAACGGCATAGCAACCGTAAATCAACGCGTACTCACTTATAGTTGTCCACAAAAGCTGTAATTAAACTTAACTTATGCAACAAAATAGTGTCCTTTATACTCCTGGTTTACAAATGTCCACTCTCTTTTCAGGTACGTGACGTCAATGAACGACCCACGGACATAATTTTGCTCTCCAGCAGTGTCCAGGAAAATAGCCCCAGAGGAACGCTGGTCGGTAAAATTTCGGTTTCGGACCCTGACAATAATGGACCTAGAGGAACCTGGCAAAACCATACTTGCAAAGTACTTAATATTGCCAACATACCATTTACTGTCAACGAGACATTAAACTCTCTTCTGGTTGCTAGTGATCTGAATTATGAGAAAACAAAAAGCTACAATATTGATCTTCGTTGTCGAGATAACGGAAAGCCGCCTTTGTCCGTTGACGAGACAGTGCGAGTCAATGTTACTGATGTCAATGAGAAGCCTTATGACATCACACTTTCTAACAACGAGGTCGCTGAGAATGCTGGGATTGTGACTGTTGGATTGCTGGATACCGCTGACCCGGATAATGAGCAGACGGTGGTGCAGACGTTCAGTTATAAAATTGTCAGTCCAGCCGGGAACATTCCTTTTGTCATTGATAGCGGCGCGCTTAATACCTCGAAGAGTTTGGATTATGAGACCAAAACTACCTGGCTGCTTGAAATCAAATCAACAGATAACAAAGGCAAGCCCATATTTACAAAAGCACGATTTCATAATAGACTCCACATGTTTTGATCTTGGGCATAGGTTATAGGAGCCAGAGGAGATACCTTCGAGTGACCCTTTTGCCCTTAAAACGTTTTGTGGTCAGAGCGCTCCCTTAAAAATTCACACCTCTTACTCGGCCTCTAAAACCAGTTTCTCTTTGCGCCTGCGTTCCTTCGTAAACCAGGACTCCTTAAGACAACAACTGTACCTGTTACCCAGAGTAACTTGAGCCCGTTTCTCGAAAGTTCCGGTAAATTTACGGGCCCAAAATCAAACATTCAAATCAAAGTGTATGGAATAAAAGCTCAGGTTCTAGTCAACAAACCAGTTTATTTTGTTTGGTGGACTGATGTTTTATTGTGTCATTTGCAAAGCTATTGAAATCTTTCTCTTGAATGTAAACAGCAGCTTTCCGAGCCCGCTTATTATCGGTACTTTCGTGATACGGGCCATTGCGACTGGATGAAGACCAATGAATAATGATCACCTTCATGGCCCCTAATTCAGCCCCTCCGCGTGTATTTTATTTATTTTTGATATATTTATTGTAGGACTTAGCACGTCAAAGAACTTCACAGTAATCGTAAGAGACAGAAACGATCCGCCCACGGGCATATTAGTAAGCGGTCCACTGAATGTATCTGAAAACAGTGTGTCCGGGCAGTACCTTGTTACAGTGGTAACCGCTGATCAAGATGTTGGGCAGACGCACCAGTATCAGATAGTTGACGTGGTCGGACATGCGCACAGCAACCACAGGTATGACCTTGTTGTCGCTAATAATGTCTGTTCCTGTCGAATTGTGCTGTACAAACACTCTGCCCTTTTGTGATTGATTCTCTGCTTTGCTCAAGGACAAATGTCTTAGGCTTTATGAGAACAACTAAAACCACCTATCCAGGTCGATATCCAAGACGGAATATTTACGCCCGAGACTGTTATTCGAATAAGAAATCGTGACCACTTTGGCTTGTTGTTTTACATTGTTCTTACTATCTGTCTTGTCAATGGCGAAGTTCTTGCAGTTAATTTTGGAAATTAGCGAAACCCGAAACCAGTTAGTTATCTTGTAGCAGTTAATTTACTAATCTGTAGGTTGCTCGCGCAATGCATGACTTCAAAGAGCACCTTTAAACTATGTTCCTCACGATAATGTGTGTTTGCTGTTATTTCCTTCAAATTAATCGGTTAACCGGTAATCGGTTAACGATAAATATCCATCATTTATATTTTTCTCTTTTTTTTCCGACTGTAGTACTTCTGGTCTTCTTAACCTTTTTGCTGTTGAATCGCCATCCGGAAAAGTCACTCTTCAAAAGTCTGGACTGGATTACGAGCAGTATGCAAAATATACAGTGACCTTGAACAGCACAGACAGCGGTTTTCCTCCTTACTCAGTGACAGGCTCGTTTGTGGTCAGCGTGCATAACATTAATGAAAATCCACAAAATATATCTCTGAGTAACAATCAGGTACAATAGCTTTATTGTGTTAGCTCAGTTAGTACGCGCACTTTGATTGGTCGGTTTAGCGGGCCGTATTTCACGTATACTCAAGAGTTTGTTTTGATTGCAATTTTGGTTGCAATTTCGTGACAAAAGAACATTTTAAAACGGTTCATTTTTTAAAAGTAGTTTCGGACTATAGGAGACATAACTTTTGACAACCATTGTTATTCAAATTCATTGTTATTCAAATATGTCACGATTAAAACAGAAAGAATCTTTCGTTTCAAAAACCAATCCGCTTCTGCTTGGCGTATCAGCGTAATCTCGTCAACGTAAGTGTCGCTATAATGGGCATGTTAACTGTTAGATTAATGCGTTTGACTACTCAGACCAGACAAATCCACGGCTTTGAAATCCTCGTGTGGCTTTCTAGCAAGGGAAACAGGGGCTGAATTACCAGACCCTGTGCTTTTCAATATCATTAGATCCACTTTGATTCAAGATAAACTTAAAACGTTTTAGCTAATTATGTAACAAGGTCTTCCTTAATATTCCAGGTTCTCGAAAATAGTCCTGTTGGTACAGTTATCGGTAACTTGTCAGTATATGACCCAGACAATCTTAATGTGCCACTACAAAAGTTCAACTGTGTTGTGGAAGATGGTGAACCCTTTAAAGTAAGTTTATTAATTATTCCGTGGTTAAGGAATCTTAGTATTAGTATATTATACACACTCAGTGATCTTGGTGTTTCAGGCAATCTCGTTGGTTCGCTCTCTCGGTTTGTCACGTTATGACGTCATGACGTTCACTGCCTAACTCGGAGAACATATAAAACCAAGACAAAACCGCTGGCGTTAATTCAGTGTTTTGCCATAGTTTTAGAGTAAGAAGTTCTCAAAACAAGGGATGGCGCAGTGGTAAGAGCACTCGCCTCCCACCATGTGACCCGGGTTCAAATCCCGGCCTCGACGCCATGTGTGAGTAGAGTTAGTTGTTGGTTCTCTCCTTTGTTCTAGCGAGTAGTTTTTTTTCCGGTTCTATATTTTCTTTATTTTAGAAGACAAAGATCGGACGTTATCAATGCCTTTGTGTAATAAATATATTTTTTTATTTTTTCAGGTCATTAATCATCTGACTCTGGTGGTATCAGAGAACTCTTTGGATTACGAAACTATCGACACATACACAGTTAACGTGAGAAAACTATAAATAACTTTTTACTTAATTTTGTCTATGTAACACTGTCACAAATACTTTTTGTCCAAAGGAATTTACTTTTTCCAAGGTATAAGGGAAATTAATAACTACAAAACATGGTTAACTGTGAGCTTGACGTTAACTTTGACACAAGTAAAATAACATAAACTTCTATACATATTCTAATCAATGGACTGTTTTTTTTATGGGCTACTGAAGTACCATTCACAGTTTGCCTCATTGTCAAAAAGGCGTGGAGAAATCCTTGACTCATTGACTCAAATCCCTGATTACCCCTGAGTCCAAACATAGTTCAAACCTAAGTTCTCTTTTAGTTCATTTATACTGTTTAAGATGAATCGATGGGGTCTTCATTTCATAGCCCTGACACACTTAATTTGAATTTTCTCTCTCAGGTTACGTGTACTGAGCTCTTGTCCAATCCCCTCTCCGTCTCTTCAGTGTTCTTTATCAATGTCCAGGATGTAAACGAGGCCCCTTACAATCTGACCATCTCGTCCCAGTCTGTGAGCGAGAACCAAGAAACTGGTTACTTCGTGGGCATGCTCAGTGTTCTCGATCCTGATTTACCGGTAGGCAACTGATGTACACGGGTTTCTTACTGAACCGCTTTCGTCCGTAACTTTGGATAGAAGCTCAATGGTACCCGAAGCATCTGGACTAGTAACTAGGTTCCACTTCCGTTGAGAGTACCCGGATTTTTTTTCTTACAAGCCTCCTGGGCCATAGAATTAGTTGATAAACATCTTTCGCTATTCTGATTTAGAAACAAGATTATAAAAGTAAAAGCTGCCAAACGAGTTTGCAGGTTGTACCTTTTGGCTCCTTTTTTGACCTTCTTCTGTGAACGCCCTTCATCTACTATTGTCAGGAAAGATTTGACTTGGAGTGGAGATGCACGATGTGCAAGGCTTAGGCGCGTCTGCCCACTTTGTCCGAGCTTCGCGCCCTTCTCTTGTAAGGGGTGTGAAAATGGCGCCTATTTCACACCCTACGTCTTTACCCGGGTTTGCTGCGGTCAACACTTATTTCCATCCACCAAACTGACGTTGACAGATTAATGATTCGTACAAAAAGTAAGGGTTAGGGTTAGGGTTGTTGCTATATATATTCAAATCATGTTCTTCTTATGCTATAAAGTAATACTTTTTAAGCGTAATTTCTATTAGAAACGAAAAGAGGTTAGTGTCAAACGAAGGTCAACACCAGCCTCACATTCATCCAAACGCTAGGACGCTAAAAATCGCTTATTCTATCCTTTGTTCACCTCCATTTCAATTGTGACTTGTTTCTCGTCTTTACATAGACCAGCGGATTTGCCAGTTTATATCTGGCCTTGAAAGATCAATCACCAGGCCCAGATGCGTTTCAATTAATAAACAGCAGTCTGTTGACTACAAGGATGCTTGATTTTGAGAATCAAAGCACGTACACGCTGACAGTTGTTGCAACGGACAGCGGTAACCCACCTCTCAGTACCAGTCTCTCTTTCACGATCCAGGTATGGATGAATGATCATTCCTAGGCCACACAAAGCCTTTGTAATGAGAGCCTCAAGCACTGCCGTTTCCCGATTCGAGCAATCGGCTACTAAGCCTTTAAACAAAATGGATACGAGGATAGCTTTTGACGTAAGACTAGTGCTCAAACCATCAGTTTTTTTAGGATATTTATTCTTTTGAGAGCTCTCTTTACAGAAGGCTTATTGCATGTCTCCTATTCTTGTGATATTAAAGGGCTTGTTAAAGTTATGGAGGTGAACTATAATTTCATTTTAGGTGATTGATACAAATGACCGGCCTACTGAAGTAAGTCTTTTGTCACACGGAATCTACGAAAACTCTACCGCTGGAGCTGTTGTTGGCATATTGCGGGCTCAAGATCAAGATGTCAATCAAAGTCATTTCTTCACTGTCAAACATACAGGTAAGTTAGCGCGTTAGTAAAATCACAAGTTTCTTGTCATTTTAAACTGGATTTACCATACGGATCATATCACTCATGCACAGCAGTGAGCTCGTACTTAGGAAACTCTGAAAGTCTCTGCGGAAGGCAGAAATTGATTCTTGTTTCCTTTTTTTTTTTAGACTGGTTTGCTGTCAGTGGAAGCTCCATGCTATTGAGCAACTTTTCATTAGATTATGAAACAACACCAGAAATTAATGTAACCATTGAGGCTACTGATAACGGCTCCCCTCCATACTCAAAAGAGGTTTGTTTCAATTTTTTAATTGCTTTGAATTCTTAACTGTGTTTCGCCTTTACCCATAATACACTGCCCACAGTGAGTCCCCCTTATTTTCTCATACTGGTGTTCAAAAAAATGGACGGGGATTGACAGGCGTCTCTGGGTTTAGTTCACGTAGCTGTAAATATTTAAAAAAATAACAAAGTGAAACCTCGTGTAGGAAAGGCAGTGCTACTTTTTTTTTCTTTTTCGACAACAGCTAACCGCGTTTTTTGTTGTAACAATCTTGCAAATGAATCCTTCCAAAGACTTTAGACCTAGGAACCATATGAGGCTCTATGTTGTTCTGCATATTATGTTATTTATAAAACTGAGAAAAATCTATTAACTTTCCATTACAGGACGTTGTGAGTATCAAAGTTCTCGACAGCAATGATAGGCCGTCAGAAATAACCTTAAACTCGTCCCTCTCGATACCCAACAGTGTGTCACACACAGTGGTGATACCCGAGTACAGTCCGACTGGAACCTCGCTGACAAATCTGAGCGTCGTCGATGAGGATGTAGAGCAGCAACATCGCTGTATGCTTCTTGAAGGAGGAAATAACTTTTACATCAGCTCCCTTTCTAAATCGTCCTCAGAGATTCGTGTCAAGCAAGGCGCTAACTTGAGCTACAGAAGTCTGAGGGGGACTCCATTACAAGGTATGTATCTTTCTGGAGAAGTTCATATTTTTTGTGAGAAAGCTGCCGGTAGCTTTCGCTAGCGTTGAGCCAACCTCGTTCCCTGAGTCCGGTCTTTCCGTCCCCTGTAACGCATCAGGGGACTGCAACCTAGTTATTGTTAAACCGTTGAACCTCCATGTGTGCTCACCTCTCGTAAGCGATCATCTCGCACAAGCGACCATCTATGCGCCAAAACACCAAAATTTCTCAGTGAAATCACGACGGTTGGAACCTCCTGTAAGGGACGGGGACCACTTTTTTGGATAACAGCTTTAGAATTTTCTATTGTTTTTATCCTCTTGTTTATAGCGCAAAAAAGCGACCGCTTAAAGCATGGTTTGATCTTTATATTTGTTGTATGTAGGAACGTGATGTACTGTTAGAGGCAACATGAAACTACGCATATAGAACTTGGAAAATGGATGTAATGAATTCTCTCCCAAAGATGTAGATGTGTCTGGGCCTCTTCTCGGAAGAGATCCCGACTCCCCTGTTGGTCGATTCTCGTGAACGAGCACTGAACCGTCGTATTTGGGTGGTCGCTTAAGAGAGATTTGACTGTAATTGGCCCCTGACTCGGTGAACAAATCAGGAAGCTAGAAAAACAGTCAACGAGGTTGAGGGTATAGTAATTGATGGTTGTTAGATTCTAAATTATTTTATAAACAGATAAATAGTCGAGGCTACCACTCGCGTAAACGACCAGCTCTAGTTACGACCAAGTGGTTGCTTAGGAGAGCTTCGACTGTAATTGCTGTAGTCTTGTTTCGAACTCACGACAAACTGAATTTTGGTTTTCTATCAAACAGTGACTGTCAACTGTGTTGACAATGGAAATCCTCCATATTCCATTCAACGAAGTTTCAGCGTTCAAGTTTCTGATGTCAACGAGGCGCCATTCGACCTTCGCTTTTATGGTGCTACGGTCATAAAGGAAAATGTTCAGGTCGGTTACATCGTAGGAAATGTCACGTGCAAGGATCCGGATATTGGACAAAAGCACATCTTTACAGTCATTGGAAATTACTCGTCCGTTTTCCAGGTAAAAAATGTATTAATTTTTGGTTGAGTTGTAGCCTGTGTAGCAAGCCTTTCCGCTCGAGTTATTCAGTTGCGCAATAAAGATTAAAATCCCTGTGCAGCGTAGTTACTTGATGTTAATTTGAAAATTGTAAAATTGACGCAATTCAAAAGAGTCTTAACCGACGTTTCGGCAATGCTGCCTTCTTTAGGCCCGGGGGGTGGGGAGGACTCCCTTACATAAGCCACATAGGTATGTGCCGCCGCAAAGGGTAGTGTTTTTGCACCGTTTTGGTCTTAAAACGGATGTAGAATGTGCCCATTTTGGTCTGGAATCGGGTATGGGAACTAGGGTGAATTCGAAATGGATTTTAAAAAATCTGTTTATTTAAACATGTAAGGTTGCGTTTTATGACCACCTCCCGATAACGAGCCGCACCGTCTTAGCAACCAAAAAAATTTTGTTTATCAAGCTGAGATAGGGGACTAAAAGTCCCCTATCTCAGCTGGATACTCAGAAGCTTGTAACATTCACTATTCCATTTATCTCGGATCATATTTCGCATCTAATACGATAGAGGCGTCAATTTTCGCGCCATCATGTCATCATTCTAGGGCGAGAAATTTAATTAAAGCGCGGCATTAAACAAATGTACGGCTCAAGTTTCGGCTAAAATTATTCAGTGCCGTCAAAGAAAAAAACATATTATTAAGGTCTGCGTATAAAGTCGATCACATTGCTAACACAGACAAAAACGCTTAAATATCTCCTACAAAATGAACGGCTGAGTTTGTTTTTTCTACGGGTCAAACTGCTACTATATATCCCAGAAGCGCTCAGGCATAATAATATGCCAGGACTTCTACCTGGATGAACCAGAAAGGATATAGAACAACTACCTAATTGTTTTTTACGGCTACGGGTTGAAATGTTAAACGTGTTATATATCCTAGAAGCGCTCAGGCATAATGATATCATGCCAGGACTTCTACCTGGATGAACCAGAAAGGATATAGAACAACTGCCTAAATTTTTTTTACGGCTACGGGTTGAAATGCTAAACGTGTTATATATCCTAAAAGCGCTCAGGCATAATGATATCATGCCAGGACTTCTACCTGGATGAACCAGAAAGGATATAGAACAACTGCCTAATTTTTTTTTTTTTTACGGCTACTGGTTGAAATGCTAAACGTGTTATATATCCTAGAAGCGCTCAGGCATAATGATATCATGCCAGGACTTCTACCTGGATGAACCAGAAAGGATATAGAACAACTGCCTAATTGTTTTTTACGGCTACGGATCGAAATGCTAAACGTGTTATATATCCTAGAAGCGCTCAGGCATAATGATATCATGCCAGGACTTCTACCTGGATGAACCAGAAAGGATATAGAACAACTGCCTAATTGTTTTTTACGGCTACGGGTCGAAATGATAAACGTGTTATATATCCTAGAAGCGCTCAGGCATAATGATATCATGCCAGGACTTCTACCTGGATGAACCAGAAAGGATATAGAACAACTGCCTAAATTTTTTTTAACGGCTACGGGTTGAAATGCTAAACGTGTTATATATCCTAGAAGCGCTCAGGCATAATGATATCATGCCAGGACTTCTACCTGGATGAACCAGAAAGGATATAGAACAACTGCCTAATTGTTTTTTACGGCTACGGGTCGAAATGATAAACGTGTTATATATCCTAGAAGCGCTCAGGCATAATGATATCATGCCAGGACTTCTACCTGGATGAACCAGAAAGGATATAGAACAACTGCCTAAATTTTTTTTTACGGCTACGGGTCGAAATGCTAAACGTGTTATATATCCTAGAAGCGCTCAGGCATAATGATATCATGCCAGGACTTCTACCTGGGTGAACCAGAAAGGATATAGAACAACTACCTAATTGTTTTTTACGGCTACGGGTTGAAATGCTAAACGTGTTATATATCCTAGAAGCGCTCAGGCATAATAATATGCCAGGACTTCTACCTGGATGAACCAGAAAGGATATAGAACAACTGCCTAAATTTTTTTTAACGGCTACGGGTTGAAATGCTAAACGTGTTATATATCCTAGAAGCGCTCAGGCATAATGATATCATGCCAGGACTTCTACCTGGATGAACCAGAAAGGATATAGAACAAGTACCTAAATTTTTTTTTACGGCTACGGGTTGAAATGCTAAACGTGTTATATATCCTAGAAGCGCTCAGGCATAATGATATCATGCCAGGACTTCTACCTGGATGAACCCGAAAGGATATAGAACAACTGCCTAAATTTTTTTTTAAAGCTACGGGTCGAAATGCTTAACGTGTTATATATCCTAGAAGCGCTCGGGCATAATGATATCATGCCAGGACTTCTACCTGGGTGAACCAGAAAGGATATAGAACAACTACCTAATTGTTTTTTACGGCTACGGGTTGAAATGCTAAACGTGTTATATCCTAGAAGCGCTCAGGCATAATAATATCCCACGACTTCTACCTGGATGAACCAGAAAGGATATAGAACAACTGCCTTTTTCTTCTACCCGTCGAAGTTCTAAACGTGTTATTCTTAGAAGCGCTCAGGCTTAATAATATGACAGGTTTCCAGCGACTGATTTTAGCTGATTTTGCGGTGCGCAAGAATGGATAATTTACCCGACTTGTAAACAGATATTTCCTTCAGCCGATTGTGTCTCATGCAGGAGAATGTCATGTCTGCGTTGTTTTGTTTCTACTGAAGTTTTATCAAAGAAAGCTTAAGCGAAAATAGGGAGATCGCAATTTATACTCTTACGAACTATAAATTAGGGCTGACCTGGAAGACGCGTTGAATTGTGCCGCCATCCTTCAAAATATAACCTGGCTGCGTTTAGGGAGACAATTTCCTCTTCCATCCAGATGTACTTGCATGGTATATGTGTTTGCGCGAATCTTCAGACAAAGAATTGGGTATACACTGATTCGAATGGCTTGGCGATACTAAGTGCTTAAGTCTACTTACCGATTACAACATGTTTTGGAAGTATTGAGAAGCGCGCCAAACGAAGTTGTCACAGCGTTCTCGAGCGAACACGGCGCGACCTGGATTGATAAAAATTACCATTACATGCAGGTATCATGCCAGTGATATCTCCTTTCGTCGCATAGTGAATAGTTTGTGAGCACATCCTCGACTCTCGAAACATTTGTCTTGCGCCGCTATAGAAGTTGCTTCTCCCGCGAACCATAGGTAGATTTCCCGCTTAACATAATGTTTGATAATTTATGCAAAAGTTGACCTCGTGGAAGTCAGCAGTGCATTAATCGACTCAAAAATAAACAGACTTCCTACAGGGTTTTGAACACGGTTTTAATTAAAGTACTTTACGAGCGCTGCGGTAGTTGACCGCAAAAGTGTTACGGTGATGGATACTCAACGGGATGATTACGTCACTTCATAGCAACCAGACGGTACGAATTTTTTAACTTCCGGAGCGCTGAGGCTCGTAGAGGTATGGAGACCATCTGAAAACGGGTGTGGAAAATCACATTTTTTAGTCGGAAATAGGGTCAGGATTTGGAGAACCGGGCGGCACACCCTCACCAAGAATTCCCAGGAGTACCCCCTCCGGGTCTTCAGGGTACAACACTAAACACCATCATAAAGTTCCAACTTTTTAACGGTAACCCAAAGAAAGCAGCGTTGCCGAAACGTCGGTAAAGACTCTTTTGAACAGCGTCGATTTTACAATTTTCAAATTAACATAATTCAGTTGGTCGAATCTCGTTCCCGCTTTCGCCCTTTAACTCGCACATCAACTTTCGCGTATTATAGACTACGCTGGCTAGTTGTTTGGTTATTTCATAGATTGATGCCTGAATACATAAACATGAATAGTGCCGCAGGAAAACTACCCATATAATTGATATCAAGGGGCCATTTTCAAAATGACTTCTAATCGATACGACCCGGGCCAATAAGGCATTTTCGTACGGAAGTCACACTACTATACTACGGCAATCCGCCGTACGGCAAAAAGATGGCGGCTGTACATTTTAGCACAATTCCTTTCAAACCTAACCCGGCCAATTACACATAAAGTCATATTTTTTTTGGGGGGGGGGGGGGCGAAATTCGTCCCTGTAATAGCAACATTGCCTATCCTAGGTTTGAAGTTTATAAAACTTTTCTGTCCGTTTTTATGAGCAATTTTATGGTTTTCATGCGCTAAGAACTGTGGCTAAATGTACCAGTCGCCATCTTTTTAGGTACGGTGGATTCTCTCTTGACTACGGCTATCAGAATTCTTCAGTAGTTATTATTTTTTAAAATTCCTTGAGGTATACTAAATTCGTATTACAAAGACTAAACGAAACGTATTTACGTGGTACCGTCAGTCGACAATATCGGGAAAATACCGGACCTTCAACGATGCCAACTACCAAACTGGATTAGACTAGTAGAACTGACGAAGTACACAAACCACTACTATCGTTTGAAAGAATGAGCCATTACAATTAAATTAGTCCATCTTTATAGTGCACTACTCTGCAACCTAGCGCGAAATGCTGGCAGAACTGTAATAGACATATCGCTCCTCAGGGACCATCATTATTTAAGCCAGGGGGTGGGCTGGCAAGAACGAGGGGTAGGCCACGTCAAATTCAGGACAGTCAGAGGGGGGTCATCAATAAATCGGCACACAAAGAGGGGGGCTACCTGCTTTTTTATTTTTGTTTTATTCTCAAACAAATACTTTCAGAGCTCTCGGGGCTAACGGTACATGGTTTGCATGTCTCTTAAAGGCTAACAGTTCATAACTGGCAGTTTAATTCTAATAAAAAATACTACGTCCAGTGGTCTTCCTCGTTAGTTTTGGTCCCTGAAGAGTTCCCACTACCGCAATGATCAACAACAAGGTCAAGATCGCAGTCACTTATTTCGACAGAATTACTAGACAATACTTCTTGTTCTTGCCTAGAGATGTTTGTGTCGATTTCTAAACTTGTTTGAAAGAAACATGAGCGATGATCCGTTGGATTTTACCGTTCTTTTTATCTTACCTTTTAGTGAAAGTTTAGAATGAAATAAATCCTTTTTTTACCTTTATCTGCTGTATTTCACCAGCTTGAAATAGAGAGTCCCAGTTAATCTACCCGGCTGACTGACTTGCATTCTGCAGAGGGTCGCCACTCGCTGGAAGTGATCTTCACGGAAATCTAAACTTTTTTATTTTTTATAAGCCTGGTTCGTTTTTTATCAACGCTTTATGTTTAACCAATACTCTTTACTCTGGAATGAAAAACAAACTCTCACTTGGTTTTTCTGATACAAAAAGAATTGAAAAGAACTGGCCTGTTAGCCTGCGTAGCAGGCGTCAATAGGGGTAGGGGATATGGAGGAAGGTGTGTCATCGATCTTTGCGGCTACTTCATTGGCTACTTTTCAGGCATTTTTCGCATTCGCTCTTCTTCCATTTCTGCATATTCCTGAAGACTCAAGAATAATCGTTTTCTAAATCCAAAAAACCGTTTGTGATATATTCCCTGTCTATTTATTATAGTTCCACCACAGGAGGGAGAGCAGAGTATATCACTGAGGATGAAAAGGATCCGTTCGATATAGTGATGCAAATTAGTTCAAACTCAATAATCTTGGCTTGCGTTTTGTATTTTTTTTTGGGGGGGGAGGGGGGCTAGTTCAGCCTTGTTCAGTTTTCCTTTGAAGGGGTCAAAATGTTTTGTTGTGCTTTCTGATGGATCTTACCAACCCACACCCTGACATAAATAATGAATGGTCCCTTATATGGATTGGTTTCCGATGAAGGACTGAAACTGAACAAAAAATATATCTGAAGCCTGAGAAAACAGCCGACATTTCCGACGCCACTTTTTGTCACCCCGCGAAACGATGTCTGAAGAACAAGCACAAAAATTCCATACTGATGACGTGTAAATACCCAGATGTGGTATATATAGTGTTCTGATTAGTTAAAGCAAATTTCCCTTGCGGCATGCCAGACCAATGGGAAACTAGTGACACGTCATTAGTATGGAATATGTGCAGTCGTTGCTCAGACGTCAGTTGGCGGGAAAACCAATGGTGGCATCGCGAAATGTTGGTTGTTCTCTTAGGTTAATATATTTGTGACCTTCAGTCCTTCATCGGAAACCTGACTTTGAACCCCTTTTGAGTTACAGTCGTATTCAAGAGGTTAAAAATTAAGATTTTATCACTTAGGAAAATAAGAACGTACAGTCTCACTTCTTTGTTGGAATGAATTTTTTTTTAGGTTAACAACAGTGGAAACCAGCTCTACGTTATAAATTCAACATTCCTGAATTATGAGGCTTTACATGTGCCTACAGTGCTGACGGTCAGCATTCAAGCTACAGATGTGCCAGTGGAACAAACAGGACCTCCTCTTTACGTCATTAGTGACGTCAATATCAGTGTTGTTGACGTCAATGAGCCACCAACTGATATTCGATTAATTCCTGATAACATTTCCATTCCAGAAAACGTTTCGATCGGTTACTGTATCGCGCAGATCGCATCCAGTAACCCTGAACGCAGCCAAAAAATAAATTATACACTTCTGCATCATCAGGACACGTTTGCTATCAAAGACACGTGTGACGACAATTCTTCTGTGGTGAATGACGCAAAAGGGGACCTACCCTACTTGACAGTTAAATCGCATCTCAGTTATAACTACTACCGTATCTACGAGATTCTTATAGAAGCGGAAGATAATGGGATTCCCCCGCTATCGTTTAACGGCACCGTTGACGTCAACGTGACCAAAATTGACCCCTGTTGGTCATCTCCGTGTCAAGAGAATTTCGAGTGCAAACGCGTTGATTGGCAGAATTACACGTGTCCGATGATTAATTTCTGCAAGTCGAACCCTTGTCAAAACAACGCTACATGTCTGATGCGCTTAAATGGATACCAATGCAGCTGTGTGCCTGGTTTCACAGGCCTGCATTGTGAAACAAACATTAATGATTGTGCGAGTGAGCCTTGTGCGAAGGGTGTTTGCTTAGATGGAATCAACAAATTTACTTGCAACTGCAGCGGCTCTGGGTTTTTTGGCACTCGATGCCAAAGAAAGCTTGGTGTTTGTTTAGAAGAGTCGTGCCAAGATCAAGAAATTTGCGTCCCACCAAACACACTAAAATATAACTCTTCTTATTGTAAATCCGTGGACAAAATTGTCTCGTTGAGTTTCCATGAAGGAGTGGATACTGCAGACCAACAGTGGCGTCGTCAACTGGAGACTTTCACTGAGGCACTCACATTTCCCATGACGGAGGTAACAAACGATAAGTACGATTCTACAGATGTCAATGTAGAGGACATTTATATTCTTAGTCCAAAACCAGAACACTCCTCTAAAGTTAAAAGAAGTGCACCAGTTGAGAGCAAGACAGTAGACTTTGTCATTCTTGTCAAATCAGACAATAAACTTGAGGCAGTTCCAAACAAGACTGTTCTGTGCACTATTAACAATACTTGCAATGCATACGTGATGGAAGAGTCCCCAGATAATTTTCGAAACGAGCTTTGCGAGTCTACCGCTCGGAAAGTTAATTATTTAGGTATTTCAAGCTGCGTTGCTCGAGAAGGTGAGGAGTGGCCCATTTCAGGCAACAAGCATTTTATGAGTAAACGCATGTATTATGTTTTTGGAGTAACCGGCGGTCTCCTATTGATTGTACTTGCGGTATCGCTACTGCTTTGTAGAAGGAATAGGCTAAGCGCAAAGAAACGCAGACTCTTCAAAAGCCAGCGGTTTAGAGACAACACTGACGACGAAACATACACCGATGCCATGTACAGGCATCATATGGCCAATCAAGAAGTGGAAAACGCTGGGACAATAAAGCCGATATACGGCATGATGGACAACCCAATCTACCAAGAACCTGATCGAAAATATGGCACACCCCAGGTGAAGCGATCGGAATCAATGACTGGGTTTGAAAATCCAATGTACCTTCGATTTAGGACAGGAAAGAAAGAAGAAGATGTGGACGATTTCAAAGAGGAAAAGGATGGTGCTACGTCTCCCACTAGTTTTCCCATGTTTTCACTTTACAGACAGGTAGGACTATTTTTCTCGTTTGCTTTGAATGTGATGACAATAAAGGTTATACAGTGACGCATTTTTACAAACAGGTCTCTCTCAACGGACCCCTCTTACTGGCGCTTCCTAAAAGGCACTTTCCTCTTTGACTCTCATATAATTATAATGGAAACTATATTTGTGTTTTGGAATGTACAACTGTAAATCTCGTTACGTATAGGCAATTTACAAATGCTGCTTGAGATTGGATTATTCAAACAAAAACAAATTAAAATAAAGCAAAACAAAAAAAAGAGAAAGGAAAAGAAAAGAAAAGAAATCAAAATTGCATTAAGTCTGGGCTATCCCAATTCCTATTTCTACAACAAAAGATGTAATATATTGCTCTAATGGCTAGATTTATCATTTTCTTGATTATATAAAGTTGCTGCTTTTTGTCAATGCCAATGTCATTCATCATGTCTAAGAACGTGGAGCATTCATCGGAGAAAACGGCGAGGGAGCTCATGGAGAGATTTACAAATTTCACACATCTGTAATTTCCACTCATTTCGTTGATCAAGTTCAGATAATAATAATAATGATATATAGATTTAGCCAGGGCTAAAAGCGAGGCTCCCATTAATAAATTTGTCATTTAAATCAAACAATAAACTTGTATTCCACAACTCAGTTAACTTTAGAGCACATTCATGTGACTTTTGAGGGAAAGGCTAAGTGATTTTAGAGAAAAATAATTTGCAAACAGCCCAAGATAGCCTCACATGTATACCCCAAAAACAGCAATCGATCACATTTAAGAGCCATAATGGCTCTTGATCACCGTAGATTAATTAGGCCTGGAAAAAAAATCAGGCCGAATTTTTTGCGTTAGACAAGTTTACTTTACAAAATCTTGCCAACAAATCTGGGTGCGTGTAAACCAACCTTTTTACATCACATATGAGGTGAAACAGTACTATGAGGCACTGTTATTATCATACAGACCTCGGACAGAATGCAGTATTTCACAATTTTGTAATACAAAGTGCGCTCATTCAATATTCAGGACGATCGATGGAAGCACGCGTGTGCTTTTAGCTAAACCGTTAAAAAAATTTCCAAAATCATATATGGCCAGCCGGTTCTCACTTTTGCAGAGCGAGCGGTGGTCTTATTTGAATGAACATTAACATAGTTACGCTTCAACATAATAAAGAATTTATTACGGTTATTTTTCTGGTCAGCGGACAGCCTCCAAGTAAATCACGTCACCTTGATGAGTTGACACATGAGCCTGCGATATGGTCATGTGATACTGGTCAGTGGCTATCCTGTTTTGACAGCTGTCAATTGACCATATTGTGAATATCCAATGTAAAAGATGTGGATTTACCAAGACAGGCCAAAGACAACCCTCCCTTCCTTTTGATAGTCTCCCCTACCCTACCCGTGCAATCTGTAGACGAGTACGTACGTACGCTGGGTCAATCACGTGACAACCAAACGAAAAGACCTTGACCATATTCTATGAGTATTGAGCTCTAATTTATTATTTGTAAGGCGCAAAATAGCGTTTAAATATATGATCTAATGCGTACAGTCAAACCCCGCTCAATACAGACACGTCTCTATTACAGACAGTTTGCTTTGTCCCACTTAATACGGAATCCCCGTTAATACTGACTCTTTCTTTCTAGTCTTATTTTAAACTTTATAGCGGAAGATCATCTGTGAGCAGGGAATAAGTCAGCACAGAATTTGTTGATCGGCGAATTTCTGTAATCGTCCATCGTTCTGCTAGTGATAAGCTAGCCGTTGAATCATTCACTCGTCTTGCTTGTTTGGGGCCGAGTCTTATTCCGTTCAAAGAAAGAGAAAGAGTGTCTGGCAAGGTTTCCAATCAAAGATTTGTGAACTCGTGTCTGGCAAAACTCACTTGGTGTTGAATATACACTGTTATACGTACCTTATAACTTCATCTGCGCTTAACGAGTGTCTTTTGGTCCATAACTTTCATAACAACTGCTCCACAGAATGTCACTGATAACACGTAACGCAGAATAGTATCGAAGTTATTGTAAGCGGTCCCTTCGGGATTTTTTGTGTTTTACGTCATCCTAACCATTTCGTACTTGCGGGCGCAAACAATACCTACCGATTCCACGCGGCCCCTGTTCAAGCAAATCGAGATTTTTTCTATATTGACTGTATGACTGTATACTTCAGCTGTAAGTGATTTCCTTAATATACGCGCGAGTTACTATAGTGCCTCCTCGGGATTTCTCCTTCTGGGCGAAATCCCTGCGGGGGCAATAATGAACAGGGCATTAGTTAAATATCACGTGCTTTAACAATGATTTCCGTGCTTGCCACCAGCAAAAGACGGAAGCTAGCACAAGTGGGGACGCTGTACCGGTCAAGCAGGAAAAGCAAGCTGCCAAAAACAAAGGAGCATCGACGTATGAGACGCCAAAGAAGAAAAAGAAACCTGCCCATGAAGAACTACAAGTTGTTGAACCATGCGGCTTCTTCAATCCTCTTTACCAGACCAAGGCAAAAGTGGAACAATTTACGGACATCACCAAAAACAAAGGAGCATCGACGTATGAGACGCCAAAGAACAAAAAGAAACCTGCCCATGAAGAACTACAAGTTGTTGAACCATGCGGCTTCTTCAATCCTCTTTACCAGACCAAGGCAAAAGTGGAACAATTTACGGACATCACCAAAAACAAAGGAGCACCGACGTATGAGACGCCAAAGAAAAAAGAGAAACCTGTCAATGAAGAACTACAAGTTGTTGAAGCATGCGGTTTCTTCAATCCTCTTTACCAGACCCGAGCACAAGAGAAAGAATTTACCGACATCACCAGTATTTTCACTCCACGCAGACCTCAACCAGAGAAAAAGCTTGACGAGGAGCCTGGAGTATCTGACTGTTAAGATGAGGTCTCGGACATAATAATGAGTAGGTTACTAATATGAGAGCTAGGCTGATAGGCACTAAGCTGTACCATCTCTGGCGGGCTGTTCAGTATGTCTGCGCACCAAATGCCACCCGTTGACGGCGGTCAGAGGAGAAAACAAATTTTCGAAAACTAGGCAAAGTACTTTAAAGTTAAAGGATGCCATTTTAATTGGTCTATTCCGTTCCTTTCATTTACGAAGCAGGCGCTTGGAAGTAGCGGGCGAAAGAGAGAACGGGCGCGCGCGAGGGAGACACGCGTGTCTCCTTCTCGCGCGCCCGTTTTTTCTTGTGCCCACTACTTCCAAGCGCCTGCTACGCAGGCTAGAAGCAGTTTGGAATTTTAGCTGGAAAAATTCTTGGTGATGAAGAAATTAATCAAAGGATTTTATGCGGGCATAGAGAATTTTTAGCTGGGGTTAAGAAGATCCTCTGTTTTGAGAAAAGAAATTTTTACACGTACTGTTGGCAATATTTCTACTTCATGGTGAATGAAACGTTACTCAATAACAAGAATATCTCCTTAGACCCATTTTAGCTGTAGTTTTGGACTCCGCCGAAAGTGGCAGCAATAGCCTGGGTGTCAGGCCTTCCTAAGGGGCTAGGGGAAGAGGAAATTTTTATGACCGCTTTAGCGGGCACAAGAGCGAAAAAACTATTACATATCAACAAATATCAACACCGCCTTCATGTCTCTGAGGTTTCTTGTTGTTTTTACTGTAGCAACCATCATAAAGCACTAGCCTGAGTATTAGGCGTTTCTGGGGGAAAAGAGGAAAGATGGAAGCGAAAAAGGGAGAGAGCTGAAGGAGAAAAACCTTTCTCTCCTCCCCCCTCCCCCATCTAAAATCTCCTCTTCCCTAGTGTTTAGGAGGGCCTGAAACTCAGGCTATAGAGCACAGTCCGCAACACAAACAAAGGACGGTATACCTGTGTTACGTACAGACCGCGGAGATGGTGTGCACGGCGATGAGTTTTCGCATATCTCGCGCTTTTGCAATCGTTTTAGTCTTAGCGGAGTTTAAACGCTTCTATTTTGTTCTTTTTTGGAATTATTTGCTATTTTTAGTTTCCTTGAATGACGGCACACACTGACAGCACAGAAAACAGTATCATCTGAATAGCAGAATTTCATGTTCGTTTGACTCATAAGGCACCTTTTTTTATTTGACAGAAACAACAACTATAGCATAAACAACAAGCAAATTTTAAAGATATCTAAGTTGTCGATCCGTTTGTTTCAACTTTGGGGGTTGATAGTTGGGCTGCCTCGCTTTACTGGAGATGACTTTTGACCCGGCAATACATAAAGCAAGCCAATCCGGAGCCGCCATGTTTACAGAGAGATTGGAAGCAGTGCGCATGAACAGTGTATTACCCCGCTGCCCTGTTGCTAGCGAACATGGTAACAGTCTAGCCCGGTGATCTCGGATGCTGGCATCTCATTATACCGGCCTGTATGCTGGCTAACCAGGCCGGGTCTGTTGACAGCTAATAATCCCTAAATTGATTTTTGTTGTGTTGAATTAACGCGCCGAGATCTTGGCAAAGCGAGCCAGCCCGAGTAGCGCGTGTAATCAGTCCCACCATAATCATGACTTTGAAGCTTATCAATCCAACGAGTTTAATTGTTCATTTGGCATTTTTAATCTTGTTGTTTTAATTATAACGACCAAAAAAATACACGAGTCTTAGCGAATCAAAAAAGATGATAAATCGGGATATAATGTAGGCTTTATTTTTGTATCTCTGGATTTTGTTTTTTCCTTACTTTTAACGTTACATAGGACGACTCTCTTTCTCTGGAGGGAAATATGAGAGAATGCAAAGATAATTACAGATAACTGAAATTTAATTGTTAGTTTTCAGGGGCACCCAACGGCAATTTTCGGGAAAATATCAGTTCGGAAGACGATTTGAGAACTAGAATTTTCGGAACATTTGTTGTAAAATTTCTCGCTTGCCTGCCTCTCCTAGGATTTTCGAACATCTACAAAATGGTATAATTACCCATTTTAAACGGATATTTACCCTAAAAAAGGCCACCTAGAATTTTCGGGAGCCTTTTCCTGGCTGAAATTTTCGAAAAGGTAAGTTTTGATCCCTATAATTTTCGGATCACTAGACTTTCAGCTAGGAAATCCGAACAGATGAAAAGTTTTTAGGGGATAAAAATATGCCTATATCTACCATTTAAATACTAAAATACGTTCAACAATGCTATGTTCAGTGGTTTTGAACTATATCCTCGTTGGGTGCCCCTGATTTTTAGAGACACGTTCGTCTACTTTGAATTTTGCCCTGGCCTGATCCATTCATAATTACACGTATAATTGAAGGCATTACGAAATTATCTCTAAAATATTACTAATTCGAAAATTAATTCAAGGGCTAATATTTTTGTATTCTTGTCTTGTTTATATAAATTTTCGGGCACGTAACCCTAAGATACTATGAATTTCGGTCGCAGCCACAAAAGCTGTTTGATCTAAACGCAACCCAACCACTCGACTATTAAACTTTGACTAGTGTTCAGGTTTAAAATTACAATGATTTAAGGAGCATTTGCATAAGAATTGGTTTATAAAACTAAATATTGCAATGTTGTGCCCCGGTTATGTTCTGAGCTAATTTCGGCAATTTATCGTTTAAGATTGGGAAACCTGTGCAGTGAGAGCTTGTTCCATTTTTTTTTTCTGAAGTGGGTTTTCTTGTCTAACTTGTATGAATTTTCAATAAATTCCGGGAAAAATTCATTAGCAAATTATGATACTTAATGCAGTACTAAAACGACATCTGTATTAAATATATTGTAGTGAATTTCATCATTGAGTCTAAATTATGATTTCAGTTGGTTTCAAAATATCTCTGTTACTATACTATTTTCCATTTATCACGTTCTGACATTACATTGATAGCACTGATTTCCTTTCAAGGTGCCATGATCACCGCGATTTTCCGTCATATGAAAAGCATAAAAATTCAACACTTTTAACAATAAAAGAGTCAATACTAAGATATTGGGGTCATTGACGTCAAGCTGGAATGACACTTGATCAGTCAAAACACAGAAACAAGGAAAATCAAACAGGAAAGTCTTAGTGATTTTACGTTAAGGGGGGATTCTGGTCAAAAGCCTTACTTTTCGTTTATTCAGTTCTGCCTTTTTCTTTAAAGTCACTAGCCTAGATTTCATTCAATCAAAAAATGGCTCAATGTAAGGTCCTAATCATTGGTTCAATAAACGTTTGAGAATTTTTGGATGAGTTTTCGATTGTTTTTAATGAATACAAATTTGGGGGGATGTTGAACATTATGGATAACTGGAAAACATAGGGTTTGGGGGTTGCTGAAAATCAAAATATGAAGGGAATAATTAGAAGACAAATACCCGAAAAATGCCACTACCAAAACAAGGTACACCTCTGATCTCATTAGCGGACTAACTGTTTTATGTGTATACCTTTTGTATCCTCAATTTCTTCCTTTCTCAAAACAACAACAACAACAACCAGAATGCCACACTTAACATTAAACCCTTCGAAAGCTTTCGAGAAGTGTGTTTCTGTGGTATAGCCTGTTCCAGGCTCCGAGATAGTCGGGTCCGCTGAATTGAGAAACTACAAACACGGCTCTTCGGTTCGCCGGCTAGCCCCGACCTCACGAATCCGTATATTTTTGAAACCACATATTTATTTTAACAGGAAATGGCCTTCCGTTCACACTGAACCAGTGAATCGGCACATTCATCCGCTGTCTAGTCGTGTTAAAAATATGCAGTTTCAAAACTACCCGGATTGATAGATTTTCTCCTACAATTGATTCACATCTTTGTTGCATCTTTGAGGGGGACTTGGGGGCTTACGATATTGCAGTGGGTATTGCGGTACTGGTTTTTTTTTTTTTTCAAGCGGTATTTCGGTAATTTTGATGTTAAAGTGCGGTATTGCCGGGTATCATTTAGCCCTGCGGTATGCGGTTTTCTATCCTTTTCGCTAACGGTATTCGGATTTTAGACTAATGGTAAATGATTACACAGTTTCTGACAGTAATCTAAGATGAAATTGGTAGGGCATCCTTTTCGGTCGTTGTACCGATCAATTCGAGGTCTTCTTACGTTTCCTCGCAGTGGATAAGGTTGATTGCTGATGCATAAATGCTTGACATAAACAAACACGCGAGATGGATATTACTTTTATAAGTAAACGTGACCGATCTTAAATGCAGTATCCGTATTCTCAAAACGGTATTTCGGTATTTACCAATATTTCTTTCATTGTTTCACCTCTTATAGTCCATTAGCCTGTGAACAAATATCTCCTATTTCACTGAAATTACTTGCACGTCGAAATTTTTAGGGACCTATGTATCGAAAGCAAAACGCGAGCGCCCGTGGAAAAGGCAGACTTACTCCGGTTTAGCAAGTCAGGGGCACCCAACGAGAATATAGTTCAAAACCACTTAAACATAGCATTGTTGAACGTATTTTAGTATTTAAACGGTAGATATGGGCATATTTTTATCCCCTAAAAGTTTTTCATCTGTTCGGATTTCCTAGCTGAACGTCTAGTGATCCGGAAATTATAGGGGTCAAAACTTACCTTTTCAAAATTTCAGCCGAAAATTCTAGGTGACCTTTTCAGGGTAAAAATCCGTTAATAATGGGCAATTATACCATTTTTTAGATCTTCGAAAATCCTAGGAGAGGCAGGCAAGCAAGAAATTTTACAACAAATGTTCCGAAAATTCTAGATCTCAAATCGTCTTCCGAACAGATATTTTCCGAAAATTGACGTTGGGTGCCCCTGGCAAGTCAGCACTAAAGGATTCAGGCGGCGTCTGTTCGTAGTAGAATTGTCCGACCATGTTTTGTTGCGTTATCCAACAGAATAAATTACACTGGTAGTAAGATAGTAGTAGTAGTATTAAGATCCTTAAACACTTTATTCTTGAATCGTATTTTTACTAATATTACAATTGCGGCACACAGTAAAGATTAGTATTCGACTCCCTCTTTGGGCTGGGAAAGTATTTCTCGTTGGTTTGCATCAAAGAGTTCTACCATACATTGGTGGGTAACAGGTCTTACAAGAAAGAGGTTGGAATCATATACACAGCTTTCCTTGTTACTATACATAACGAAAGAATGAGTTGAAATTGGTTTTACTCCAACCTCCGCTGCTAATATTCCGATGTAAGCATCATCAATTTTTAGAGGTTTTACAACATCAAACATTTGTGTGAAATTTAGAACCAAATCTTTCGAGAGAACATACCCCCCTCCAGACAAATAATCCTTGAAAACATCGCCTGGATGATCTTCTTTTGAAACTGCGTAGTAACCTGTGCGAAGAACAGGGCTTCCGTGCATTAGATGTCCGAAGTAAAATGCAGCTTTAGGAGCTCCGTCTCCGCTCAGGAACGCGACTAGAGCCCGCGTGTTAACAAATACATCATCGTCAGTTTTTAACAAGTATTCAAAACTACAGTATTTCGCAGCCCATTCAAAACCAGACTGAATCTTGAACACTTTATTCGCGAAGGTTTCAGAGTAATCGCCCTGGATAATGTCGCCAAATATTTGGGCTTCACGCGAGATGCGATCCGACAATAACATGTTGTTTCCCGTAACGCCGATAAGAAAAACAGTTTTCCACTTCCGGTGCAAAGCGTTATCAACTCCCCAAGTATGCCGAATAACCATGCGGCTTTTGTAAGCATCAGCCGAGCTCGACACAAGAATGACGAGAAATAAACGCTGAAGACACTTTGTTCGAGTCAATAAGCGGGTTCGATGCTTTCGAACTTCGTGCCAGGAGTCTGAAAATCCTTCGTCCGTTTGCGTATGGTCGGGGCTTTGTTCCCAGTCAAGTGGTCGTCCTTGAGTAGTTTCAACATAAGATTTCCGAGATCTTGGTTGATACTTGCCGACTTGGCCTTCTTCTTTTAGTTGCGATTTCATAGTCTCGACATAATTTGTTAGTCCTTGACTCGTCAGCCATAAAGATATACACAACATAGACAGAGAAACAATCACGCAGAGAAATAAACAAGTAGTCGCTGTTACCGAAAACTTACAAGAATACGCTGACTTCATCGAAATTGTCACCTGCAAACTTTGCCTTTGCGATCAGTCTAAGGAAATAATAAATTGTTGTAAGACGTCTCTCCAATAAAGCAGCGCATCAATTTTAACAGAAACACGATATCCTTTAGTCAATATTTAACTCACATTGTCACGTAATTCCTGAACTCTTCGCTACACGATGTCATATACATTCTGTACCGTTACCATTGAGTTGCTGCCCAGTTATGCCGTTTTCAGTTACTCGATCACTCGAGATGTTGCCGACCAATGAAAACAAGACGTTTTACCCAGAATGTCAGGGGTAAATCGGAAGCTCTCTTCTCCTCTGGCGACCCGAACATCCGGCAACATACCATATCAACCAAAGAACTATACATACAGTGAACAGAACGTGGGATCAGGCGGTCCCTCTCTTCGACAAATTGCAGGGCGTATTGATATTTCCGTTAACAATTTCGGACTATTGCATGACCTTAAGATAATTCCTCTTACTAGCTTGTATTCACATTATATAACACAAAGGCGCTAACAGCGGCCTCTTCTCTCGCTTGCTTGGAGATTAAATCGAGAAATGAGGAGGCGATTAATTCTACACGAACTCGCTAAAGGTAAATTATGACACGATATACGTGCGGTTTTTTCCCACGTATACTTGCAATCATTCCTGCTACACGATATACGTGCGTTTTTTTGCCACGCATACTTGCGTTCTTTCCTGCTTTGTGGGGTTTTTGTTCCCAAGTATATGACCATTTTCTTACAAACGCGCATATATATGCGCACAAAAAAAGTTCATATATTTGCGTTACAAACAAGCATGTGTACGGGTCACAGAAAGTCCTCGTATAAGAGACACCGAATTATACCGTCAGCAAAAAACTTCTTCATGTACGATGGAGCTGAAAAGTAACTTCAGTTTGAATCAGGAATGGCGCAATCCCAATTCCGCAATACCGTTAGAAAAGATGGCAAATACCGAAATACCGCGTCGAAAATCGTCAAAATACCGATACCGCATATTTTAATCACATTTATAATAAGTTCCGCATACTTATGGTTGCTTCCATCTAGGGCGTTTAATTACCTCAGGCATTTATGCATCAGATGTCCATGTTTTTTTTTGAAATATTTTGGTAGTTCGCAAATTTTTCGCAAATTTTCACTGAAAAGTAAACTACATTCGTTCAACCTTTTGGTAGGTCGACCCAACAGCTAATTAACTCTAATAAAAATAACTCTTGAAAGCGCGAAAAACAAACCAACCAAAACCCTTTCCACGCACGTCTAATGCTAGTTTTGATAAGTGAGTCTAGTCTAGCACGTCAGTCTCTCAGGGTCAACTATCTCAACTGTCTCACGCACCGCGCCCGTAAGAGGCAAACTTACCAAATTTTCTCTTTTAACTTTACAAGGCGTTTTTTAATTCTCGAAACCCGACATCTAAACTTATTGTTGTTGCGATAGTGTTCGCCTCAGAAGTCGTGGAACCGTGACCCATTCCGAAAACGCTCGATTATCATTTTTTTTTAACATTCTGACAATTGTACGTAGTTTTTCGAAGCGTAGAGATAATTGTGCAGATATAACCGTCTTCATCCCCAGATTCTGCGCTACCATGACCCGCAACACGTGTTTACAAAACTATTCTTTCTGTCACTTTCAGCTGTGCTTAATTTTTCGCACGTGAAGTTGAGAACCAAATTACCATAAGATCAAATTTAGAGCACGTGTTTACAGTTTTTACTTTTTGTTATCTCTGTTTTGCACTTGCTATTTTATCGGCTTGCTATGTCATACAAGCATGAAACGTAACCTGCTTTGTCGAAAAAGATAAAGTGTGATTTCGTTTATGGAAGAAAAAAAATTTGCCATAGCACTAAAACGTGATAAACATTGCGCGCTATTGACCACTCCAGAAAATACCATAACATACCATAATGCTCTTTGTTTGTCACCCCAAAATCTTGCATAAGCATTGTTTTTAGTTGAACTGGGCCCAGCGTGATACAGCATTGCAGAAAAACATCACACTCACGGACTAAAGAAAATCGCTTAGTTATTCAGATCAAGAAAGCACTTCGGAGAAAATTGGAACCCTTATTCAGCCGTAACAAAAAAGCTTTACGCTTCAAAAGAGGTCAAAGAAAATGCGCTTGCATCAGAGGGCAAATCCTGCCGACCAGAAAACAATAACTACAGTCAATCGATATGTATGTCATCACCTCTCAGTGTGAAACATGCGGCTAAAATCACATTCGTTCAGTAGAAATGCAGAACCTTCCAGAGCATAATCTACCCAACAGATGAAAACAATTTTATTGGAATAAGCAGCATTTTGGCATGAGGTAAAAGTCGTGTAGGCCTACCACCCCCTTTTATTGCAAGGAAATATAAGTTAATCCAAGGCTCTTAATGAAATTCCAGATTATTTACGACTGGTCATACTTACAGGTACATGTACATGAAGCTCTGCAAATACAGTAATCCTTTAATCACTCTCTGTTTATGACACTGTTTTTTAGAAAAAGATAAATTTGTGTAAACAGTACAAATCCTGATGGTGTTGATTTGTCCTGAGAATTCTGGTGGCAGGTAGATCAAACTGGTTGTGATAACTTTTTTATTAGAATCTTTTGGCTATTGTTTGCAAGTAATGTATCAGTCAGCAGGTTAAAAAGGCCAATTATTGTACAAATGTTTCTTTTAAATCTATTTGCTTAACTGCAGGCATTTGAGTTCTGCTGGCACCACTTCACAGTACATGTGTACCGATTACAGCAATTGCAACTGACCTGCTTGAACAAAAAACAAAACACATTTAGGTACACCCTGCTTTTTGTCATGATTTAGTATGGAATTTTGCAAAGGATTGCAACATGACTCAAGAAAAAGAGTAATGAGAGACAGCAGTGCAGTTATTTTGCAGGCTAGCCAGATCAACCTTTTGTACTACATGTACATGTATACCGAGTTTAAAATAGTTATTAGCTTCTCTCATTGGGACCAACTACAGTGACAATGGTAATGTTGACATGCTGTGGAATACTTACAGCTGGTCATTACTTTAATGACCCCCAATTTTCTTAGAACAGGGCAAGTACTAGAAGCTCCGGCTGGTACTTCCTCTAAGAGCATATCCAATACTATACAGGAACCATTAGCAACAAAAATGAAGTTAAAGAAGTCTGATCTGAATTTGAATAAACTATTTCGTAGTTTGCTAAATGCTATAACCCAGTTGTTATACCAGCAAAAATTGTAAATTGGTAGCAAGAATTAGGCCTTTCATTCTAATAGAGCCTAAAGAAAAAAATGCCACCAGAATCAAATTTTGTTTAATCTGTAAAAAGCAATAAATACAAAAATACTAATTATTTATCAAAATGGGTGTCTTGAGGGTTCCATTTAGTTGGAACAGGATTTTTTTCTTAGATACAAAAGTTTAAGTAAGAAATAGTCTTGTCATAAGTAAATACTGGTCCAAGGGTAAAAGGATTTTTAACCTGTTTCTGAGTTGCAAAAACCTAAACAACTGAAATAGGTTTGAGGCAACTCTGAAACACCTACAGCTGGATGTAGAATATCTTACACATTTCAGGGGCACCCAACGAGAATATAGTTCAAAACCACTTAAACATAGCATTGTTAAACGTATTTTAGTATTTAAACGGTAGATATAGGCATATTTTTATCCCCTAAAAATTTTTCATCTGTTCGGATTTCCTAGCTGAAAGTCTCGTGATCCGAAAATTATAGGGATCGAAACTTACCTTTTCGAAAATTTTAGCCAGAAAAAAGGCTTCCGAAAATTCTAGGTGACCTTTTTAGGGTAAAAATCCGTTAAAAATAGGCAAAGATACCATTTTTCGGATGTTCGAAAATCCTAGGAGAGGCAGGCAAGCAAGAAATTTTACAACAAATGCTTCGAAAATTCTAGACCTCAAATCGTCTTCCGAACAGATATTCTTCCGAAAATTGTCCTTGGGTGCCCCTGACATTTAGATGAAGAACACTTTTCTTATAATATTAATAGTTAGTAATGATCTGATTAACAAATAGATTCCATGTTGCCGTGCGTCTGTTCAGTAATAGATCACAGATGACGTAAAAATGTCGTAAAAACAAAGAAGTGGCACACGAGCCGCAGGCGAGTGTGTCACTGTTGTTTTTACCACATTTTGACGTCCTCTGTGATCTATTACTGAACAGAACGACGGCAACATGGAATCTATTTGTTTTATACAATGATCAGAAAAGAAAAAGGCCGATACACATACCTCCCTCTAACCGCTTGACCTTTTGAGGGTATGTGCTAATTTAGGCATTTTTTAAGTCCCAAACCCAACTTTTCATCTTAGCTTCTTCTTTATCTTACTTGTGTACAGTTTCTTCGAAAAGTTTTTCACCGTCTTTTCTTGCTCAAAGAAGAATAACATTTTGCAAAACAGCGAGTCTCTCGTAGCGAAGACTCACGATGGCAACTGTTGTGAAGATTTCTTGTAGTTTAGGCATTGTCAAGTAGTCAATAGCTTTTTTGGTCTCCGTTTCTCCATTTTTCTTCTTTGTAAATAGCTCCTGCTAAACTTTTTCCGAAGTTTTCACTTGCCTCATCCGAAATAATCTCACAAACATTTTCAAAACCGCGTGCCATGTTGAACAAAACAAAGAAAACAAGTTTCCCGTGACGTCATCCATGTATCTGTACTCTAATAGATTATGGGCAACGACCAATCACAGCGCGCGTAGCATTCACATCATTGTATAATAGAGCATAGAGTGGAGACAAGTAAACATCAACGAACTGTAAAATTGGGAATTAATATGAAGAGCTGTATGTACAACTGTATACTGGTATACTGTAGTTTGTTAAGTCTGTAATAATGTGTAAGCCACTTTGGTTTATGGCATAAATCATTTCAACATTAATGGGAGGTCGTCACTGCTAGAATTTCTTTCAGTAACCTTTAATGTTTGAAGCTATAAACTTCAAGATTAATTATGGCCACTTA